GCCCATATTCAAGGTCACAGGGGTCAATATATGTTTAAATCTTTAAACGATTTGTTCAGTATAACCAAAAATCCAGGGTAATGATATTTTGCTAGAAGCATGCTGGGTTGGAATACTATAAACTCTGTTCAATCTAATGTCCTTGTTCGACATTCAAGGTGAAGGGCATCATATGTTTGAATCTTTTAATAGGTTCTTATTAATCAAACACTGATATTCTGCCTGTTGTTGTATTTTAGTCCACTTTTAAGATTACAAGTGTGAGATTAATACCAGGTGAGCGATTCAGGCATGGGGCCTCTTGTTTTGGGTCACTGCCAAGGTCATTTGTTACTATTTAAAAGTTAATCACAAGACCAAGTGGGCATCATTGTCTTGCAGATGTCTTCTAGTTTTACAATGAAATTTACAACGAAAAAATCAGGTGTTGATTGAAGCCTTACATAATTAACAGATTTTCCTATTATTAACAGGATGCCCACGATGGAGAGGTAAATGCTATACGATGGAGTCCGTCAGGCACAACATTTGCTACAGGCGGCACAGACAGAAAAATCAAACTGTGGGAGGTGATAGCCGGTAAGTAGTAATAATAATAAAACTAATTTGAGGTTCTTATATACCGCTTTATCACAACCTATTTCATAGGTCGTCTCAAAGCGGTTCACAAATTAAGTCTCTTTACACTGTACACTTTGGGTGACTTCAGTCGGTGTAGATTAAATGTGATGACAGTTTCCTTCTGCAGTCTGTAACACGGTAGTAATTCTATTTTGCAGGTAAATGTGAGAGTAAAGGTTTTCTCACAGGCAGTAACCAGGGTATCACTTCGTTAGACTTTGACCACGAGGTAAGTCATGCTACCTACATTTGTTTCATGTCTATGATTGGTTTTGTTTGTGTTTATGTCCTAAAAACAGCTATGGTCATTTGGTGGTGGAGGAAAGCCGGATTGCCTGGAGAAAAAAACACCGATGTACAAACCTTCAACCCAATGGTGAAGGGCTAGTGGTAGCAGAATGTCAGACACCTTGGCCACCGCAGCCCCATTCATGTCTGCAAACTTATTGAATTATCATTTCATAAAGCCTACCATGTAACTCACAGAGTTACAGGGTAGTATAGGCCTATTATCGTTTGAAGGTATATATTATGTTGGATAGAGGTTTCCTTGGTATGGAATTTGCTGTATTTTGCACCTGTTGTATAAAACATTGATAGCTTGGGGAATTTTAGAGATCTTTTATATAAAAAAAGAAACAAAATGCTTTTGTGAATATCGCTTTATTTCTTCAAAAAGCTTAGAAATAACTTTCTTCATTATTTCTTACAAAGAGGATGTCATAATTTTGTATGATGAAAATATGAATACCAGATGGTTTGTCTATATGGCTTGTTGTAGACACTGCCAGCAGGCATTACCGTCAGCCTAATCTTGACCACACTGTGTTTGGATGATGTGGATGTTTGACCTTATTATTAGAGTTGTAAATACCTACACTGTATACTTGGAGTTATGACTGTTGACTGTGTTTGATGTTTGATCCAATTACTAGAGATGTTAATACTTGAAGTTGTGACCTTTGACTTTGTTTGATGTTAATGTTTGACCTATTTACAAGTCACTAATACTTGGAGTTACAATGTATGACCTTTGACCTATTTTTGATGTTGATGTTTGACCTTATTACCAGCATTGTAAATACTCAAAGTTATGATCTTTGACCTTTTTTTGATGTTCATGTTTGACCTAATTACAAGCATTGTTAAAACTCAGAAAGATGACCTTTTACCTTTTTTATGACCATGTTTGACCTTATTACAAGCGTTAATACTCAGAGTTATGACCTTTGACCCTTTTTTATGACCATGTTTTACCTAATTACAGGGGTCGTTAATACTTGGAGCCTCCAATGATTTTGCCAGTCGAGTGTGGTCACTGGATGATCAGCGCATCAGAGTAAGTCCATGTTAATATACAATAAACATCATTACTTGATTTGTAATGTTGTACTGAATTTAACCTTAACACTTTATAAGACATTACGAGATTTTAATCTTGTTAGAAAAAAGTCAATGGTTACAAAAGTGTTCTGTGTCAGTGTTTCCATGTTTTTCAAGTTTCTGTATCATTATCTGCACGGTTACTGTTCCATATATATATATATCTCCATGGTTACTGTTTGTTCCATATATATATCTCCACGGTTACTGTTTGTTCCATATATATATATATCTCCATGGTTACCGTTTACTCCCTATCTCCACAGCACACACTGACAGGCCACAGTGGTAAGGTACTGGCAGCCAAATTTCTGGGAGATTCCAGTAAAGTGGTCTCAGGGAGTCATGACCGCACTCTGAAAATCTGGGATCTACACAGCCGTGCTTGTAAGTGAAATGGTCGGAATTTAACAAAGAGTCACCTGACTTAAGTCAAGGTCACTGGGTCAAATGTAAAGGTCAAATTTAGTATCTTTTCACTGGTGAACATTTCGTTATGACACTTTGAAGCAAAGATGGTCAGAATTAAACAAGGAGTTAATTGACCAAAAGTCAAGGTCACTGGGTCAAAGATCAAGGTCAAATTTTGTATATTTTCCCTGATGATCATTTTGATATGACATTATGAAGCAAAGTTGGTCGGAATTTAACTAAGACTCATTTGGCCAAGAGTCAAGGTGACGGTAAAATTTAGTGTCTTTTCACTGATGAACATTTTGTTATGACATTATGAAGCAAAGTTGGTCAGAATTTAATAAGGAGTCAACTGACTTAAGTTCAAGGTCACTGGGTCATTGTCAAGGTCAAATATTGTATCTTTTACTGATGAACATTTTTTTATGTTATTATGAAGCAAAGTTGTTCAGAACTTAACACAGAGTCAACTGACCAAAGGTCCACGTTACAGGGTCCANACTCACATCATAGTACATGTAAAATGTATATTTTGCTTCCTTGCGATTCTTTTTGAAGTCCAAATGTCAAACGTCAAGCTCAGCTATATGGGCAGATTGCTTCTTGATGATTATGGGGGATATATTGCCACAAGACGGGGCCCTTACTGACCTGTCAGTGTTCTAGTTATTTCTATGTCGTTATACTTTAGGTCCATAATGTAAAAAATAATAATAATTTGACATTTTGATTTAGGTGTAAAGACAATATTTGCCGGGTCAAGTTGCAATGATTTAGTTACCTTGCATGGAACAAATGTGGTGAGCGGCCATTTTGACAAAAGAGTGAGGTTCTGGGATACCCGGTCTGACAGCAGCACGAACGAGATTCTCCTTCAGGGCAGGCTCACATCTCTAGACCTGTCTCCAGGTAAATAGGTACAAATATACCTATAAAACAGCTATCCGATATTAGTCTGACTGTCCTGATTTGACAGATAAATGCTACGTCCTTGGTAATCAGCTTATTTTACTGGACCATAGTTTAAAGAAGCCATGTCAAAATCAACCAATCGAAACATTACTCTGAGATCACATGCCACATTTGAAAATGGCAGAGCCAATCAAGTGAAAGGTGGTTGGGGCTAGAATTCAAATTTAAACACTCAGTTTGAAACGATCAATCAAATATCACAACAGACGATGAAAGAGGAAATTTTGCTCTTGAGAGTAGGATAAAGGAGTTAAATTATTGGATTTAGGGATATTATATAGCATAACTTGCTTTATCTCTCAAGCCCATACCTTAGCTGTATTATATAACATTGCTATCTTTCAAGATATTTATATCTTAACATTCCCATTTTCACTAATCTACATGAAACTACCAAAATCCCATTGCATTGATTACATATCTGGCTTTAGATAGTGGATTAGATTTCTTAGGCATAAATGTAATTATTGTTATACAGTACTAGACAATACTTAAAGTTATGTTTCCAAATTTTAAAATGATAAAATGAAATTCAAACACAAAATTTCCAAAAACTATAGAAACATTTGCTATGATATAGAAGTAAATATGTATGTGCATAATTATACTACTAACACCTTGTATTACAGACCGAAGTTCTTTGCTGTGCAGTACGCGTGATGACACATTGAAAGTGATAGATCTCCGGATGAACCAAGTGTCTAAAACCTTATAGTAAGTGAAAATCTTTACAAGATCAATTTCTCAAATGGTTGTAAAGACCATCGAAAGAAAAAATATGAAAAAATATAAAACCAATTCTGATTAATAAATTTGAATAATTTAGTGCCATTGGTCTAAGTTTCGATTTTTGATGTCCACCAGAAGAAAACCGAATCATCACTTTCTCAAAGTTGGAGACAGAAATCCTCCATACTATGTGGGAGTTAACATAGGGCTGTACAGTCTTCAAATTCCAAAGGAGAGAATTATATAGAGAATAATTCATGCCTTTTTCCATACGAGACTCCAATATCAGCCCGAGAGCTGATATTGGTCGAGGTATTCCAACTCAACAATCCTATTGGCAAGAGACTATAACGTTCTCTCCTCCATTCGTCGCCATTTCTCAGCATCAGCCATTGTTAAACTGTTGGTAACTAAGGGTTCCGAATGACGTGGTGGTAGATGGGAAAAGTTAGAAGTGTTCCAAAAGGGGTGTGATATGGATATTTGCGGGCTGAAACGGAGAGGGCTGATGCAGGTTTTGGGGTATGATACGGCGAGGGCTGATATGGGTTAGAGCAATTGTGTCGTATCGCATATACAAAAAACCTGTATTTATTAGTAAGTATGTAATAAATACATGTATTGCAACCTCATTTTATCAGCTACCACTAAACCACCACTAATTATGAAAAAAACTTTTTTATTTTCTTACTTGCCATCATTAAACCAGCAAACTTGTCTACCACAGTCCACCAGTGTTTATGGAACAGATATGCAAATGCCCCATTGTTATTATGATAATGTGTTTAATATTGGTGTATGGTTCTGATGCATTTCAGTGCGGAAGATTTCAAGGTTGGCTGTGACTGGGCGAGAGCTGTGTTCAGGTAATTATTCTGATAGTAGATCTTAATCTATTAAAGACACCTTTGAATTACATAATTAAACAAAAGTTACATCTGAACAATAAACCATTCAGATAGATTTGAATGTATTCATGTTTTACAAATTACCAAAATTTACATTCAATATCTTTCTACTACTTTTGAAATGAAACATAATAAGTGTGACTGAATATCATTACAGTCAAACCTGTTTTAAGAGACTGTCGTCAGTTAAGTCGGTAAAAAGTGGTCTCTTGATTGAGGTGGTCTCCCAATACAGTTCATTATAAAATAACTACAATGGGACACATTAAAAGTGGTCTCTTTACACAGGTGGTCTCTTAATGGAGTTGGTCTCCCAGTACAGTTCATTATAAAATAACTACAATGGGACACATTAAAAGTGGTCTCTTTACACAGGTAGACTTAATGGAGGTGGTCTCCCAGTACAGTTCATTATAAAATAACTGCAATGGGACACATTAAAAGTGGTCTCTTTACACAGGTAGACTCTTAATGGAAGTGGTCTCCCAATACAGTACATTATAAAATAACTACAATGGGACACAATTGTGTCGTATCCTCAACACAGGTGGTCTCTCAACACAGGTGGTCTCTTAATGGAGGTGGTCTCCCAATACAGTACATTATAAAATAACTACAATTGGACACATTAAAAGTGGTCTCTTTACACAGGTGGTCTCTTAATAGAGTTGTCACATGGGCAGGTTTAACTGTATTTTGAGTATATTATGTAAAAAAATAACCTTTATTACAGTCCTGATGGTAGCTATGCCCTCGCTGGATCTAATGACGGTGCCCTCTTCATCTGGAACCTTGCAAAAAGTAAAGTGGAAAAAGTCCTCAAAGATCACAGGTGAGTATAGACTGCATTGGACAATACTTTGACTGAGCTCTACAGCTGTTTAAACCTCATTGTTCACCATTTAGTAAACATTTAGTATACTGTACGGCGGTTATATTTCGCAGGGGTTTTAATTTCGCTATATTCGCGCTTTGACTAATATCCGCGAATTCTAAACACCAGCAAAATTATCGAAAAAATGTTAACCACTTTTACAGACCTTATCACAACATGTTTAAAATACTTATAACCCAACGCTGTAATGCAAGCTTAAATGAACTAAAATCAGATTATCACCGGAAAACTGGGCAGTTCATGTAAAAGCAACACTTACATATAAGTGGCCGTATTTATGTGTACACAGGAGGTGATTAATTGATTACAGTTTACTCTTACAAAGTTACATACACAATTGATCTTCCATCCAGTGAAGTCACTGGCAGATGACAACGCTCAGCATCAGTGTTTTCAAACGGTTTACTTGTATTTCGAGGTTTTACCCTTAAATGATGACACTAAAAATGCATTGCACGACACACAGGATTCGGGTACACAGCGAAATTTAACCCCCGCGAATATGTACCGATTACGAAACCACTAAATAATGACTCAGCAAATTTAAAGCGCTATACAGTAGTCAAGTATGGTTTGATGTAGGGAAGTAACCGAGACCTAATTTTCAAGTTTAATTGTTTCCATCCTGCTGGTCAGTTTTCTAAAAATTTCAAATTTGATTTCAAGTTTTGGCATTTTTCTAATAAGCAAACAAAAATGGTGATGGGAGTAGGGTAAAGTTATCATTTATTTGACAATATATGATTGCTTCAAAATATTTACCGTTAACACGCCTTGATGACAGTATTTTCAAGGTCACATACTGAATACTCTGTCAAATCCTTATCACTTTCATGAATACATTTTTCTAGGTCAACCGTCAGCATTGAGAGCTGGCCAAGGTCAAATGTCAACAACATTTGTTGTTTTGTTTAAAACTTCCAACATTTTCTGGAAAAAACTTCAAAATCATTTGAATTATGCTGCTGCTGGCTTAAAGAACGCGCTTGACAGAAATGCAGCTAACAGATCACAGAATCAAAATTGTGCAGTAGTTAAGTTGAATTAGTCTGCCAACAAGCTATTAAGTATGCTTAGCTTATACAATTACTGTCAGGGAGAGTGTTGCAGGCTGTGTTGGCCTTTTGTGTGTAATTAGTAAGAGTATTTGGTGTTGAAATCTGTTCTAGATCTGGATTATTAAGACATAATTTTACTGTTGTTTTCCAGCCATGCTGTGATCGCCTGTTCCTGGCATCCTGTTGGGACATACGTACTCAGTGGCGAAAGACAGAAGAAAGTTGTGTTATGGTCAGATTTTTAAATGACTCTTTCCAAAGATAAAGGACAACGGACAAATAAGCTTTATTCAGGAAGTCTCATGGGAGAATATTAGAATGCATCTCTCCAGTGTGGTGTAGCCATAGAAATCGCAAGATGAGGATAAGATTCTTAAAGTTTAGTGCTAAACTTCGAAAATCTTATCCCGAGAGTTTGTTTTCTCTTTCAGCATCATACAGGAGTGATAGATTACAGGGTATTTATTTATTTCCTATACTGTCTTACAGCAGCAATACATCGTATTGGTGAACTTACAGCACAGGGCTATCATCAGGGGCGCCTGAAATGTGGGACAAAACTAACGATGTGATTGTGACCCTGGTTATACTGCACCAAGTGAGGACCAATGATGATGTTTTCAGCATAAAAGTGCTTGTGAGCTGTCTTTTGCTTACAATAGCAAAGACAGGTACGCTCCCGTGTAGTATGAGAGGATATTACAAGAAATCTTAAAATTAAGAACAGAACGTGAAAGATTTACAGAACAGATTTTGATTAAAATATACATGTAATAAAATTTCTCTGAGTTTTGGTAATTTCTTGCTTAAATTCAGTGATTTTATGTTCAAACTTGGATACAAGGAGCTTATTACGGTACAAAATCGCTGTCCATTTATGAGGTTAAGACTAATGTTTACCTACCCGTTGTTGTGTCTGTCCATTGACATAATTTATATCTGTGGAACTGTCACATATTGTCAGTAAATGTGTGTTACTAAGCACCATTGAATAACTTATTCTAACTTGATACGGAATTATAGCAAGTCGTGTAATAACTGCATATGATGGCAACAATATCTACTGACGACCACAATGTTTTGGACATTTAATATTTATTATTATTATATGCATGAACATTTCTCGCAATCACATTGGTCGGATCCTATACACGTGACCAGTCCTCAAAAACTCATGTAGACTGGTTATCCGGTGAATATCGATTTCTAAATATAGCCTGTATGGAAATTCCCCGGAACCTGTCGTAGCGCATGCGCAGTTAGACTGGAACTGTCAGTCGACATTAGAAGATGGCTGCTAGCGAACGTTTCTCATTCCGTTAGGAAAATTACCAAAACTATTCGAGGATAAAGAGATGCTGTTAATGTAAAAAAGGCCATTGAACACGAAGTGCATTTTCTCCATGCTTACCTTAAGAAAAAGAATCTAGACAATGCCTTCGAAAGCTACAATGCTGAACTGTTGTATTCAAACCTGGCTAAATTTTACACGGAGGCTCGCGTACAAAAATCAGAACCTTTGGTTTGGTTTTGTTTTATTGTTGAAGCATATAATAAAACAGTTATGGGCTTTTGTGCTGGTAAATATGATGTGATATGAACATATCACATCATATTCACCAGCACAAAAGTCCATAATTGTATAATATTAAATGTCCAAAACATTGTGGTCATCAGTAGATATTGTTGCCATCATATGCAGTTATGCATGAGCATCAGTCACGTGATCAGGGGTTTACTTTACGTTCGTCCTGTGGACAATGTGATGTTTCACTGTGGTAGGGGTTTACTTCATGTTCGTCCTGTGGACAGTGTGATGTTTCACTGTGGTAGGGGTTTACTTCAGGTTCGTCCTGTGGACAGTGTGATGTTTCACTGTGGTAGGGGTTTACTTCAGGTTCGTCCTGTGGACAGTGTGATGTTTCACTGTGGTAGGGGTTTACTTCAGGTTCGTCCTGTGGACAATGTGATGTTTCACTGTGGTAGGGGTTTACTTCAGGTTCGTCCTGTGGACAATGTGATGTTTCACTGTGGTAGGGGTTTACTTCAGGTTCGTCCTGTGGACAATGTGATGTTTCACTGTGGTAGGGGTTTACTTCAGGTTCGTCCTGTGGACAATGTGATGTTTCACTGTGGTAGGGGTTTACTTCAGGTTCGTCCTGTGGACAATGTGATGTTTCACTGTGGTAGGGGTTTACTTCAGGTTCGTCCTGTGGACAATGTGATGTTTCACTGTGGTAGGGGTTTACTTCAGGTTCGTCCTGTGGACAATGTGATGTTTCACTGTGGTAGGGGTTTACTTCAGGTTCGTCCTGTGGACAATGTGATGTTTCACTGTGGTAGGGGTTTACTTCAGGTTCGTCCTGTGGACAATGTGATGTTTCACTGTGGTAGGGGTTTACTTCAGGTTCGTCCTGTGGACAATGTGATGTTTCACTGTGGTAGGGGTTTACTTCAGGTTCGTCCTGTGGACAATGTGATGTTTCACTGTGGTAGGGGTTTACTTCAGGTTCGTCCTGTGGACAATGTGATGTTTCACTGTGGTAGGGGTTTACTTCAGGTTCGTCCTGTGGACAATGTGATGTTTCACTGTGGTAGGGGTTTACTTCAGGTTCGTCCTGTGGACAATGTGATGTTTCACTGTGGTAGGGGTTTACTTCAGGTTCGTCCTGTGGACAATGTGATGTTTCACTGTGGTAGGGGTTTACTTCAGGTTCGTCCTGTGGACAATGTGATGTTTCACTGTGGTAGGGGTTTACTTCAGGTTCGTCCTGTGGACAATGTGATGTTTCACTGTGGTAGGGGTTTACTTCAGGTTCGTCCTGTGGACAATGTGATGTTTCACTGTGGTAGGGGTTTACTTCAGGTTCGTCCTGTGGACAATGTGATGTTTCACTGTGGTAGGGGTTTACTTCAGGTTCGTCCTGTGGACAATGTGATGTTTCACTGTGGTAGGGGTTTACTTCAGGTTCGTCCTGTGGACAATGTGATGTTTCACTGTGGTAGGGGTTTACTTCAGGTTCGTCCTGTGGACAATGTGATGTTTCACTGTGGTAGGGGTTTACTTCAGGTTCGTCCTGTGGACAATGTGATGTTTCACTGTGGTAGGGGTTTACTTCAGGTTCGTCCTGTGGACAATGTGATGTTTCACTGTGGTAGGGGTTTACTTCAGGTTCGTCCTGTGGACAATGTGATGTTTCACTGTGGTAGGGGTTTACTTCAGGTTCGTCCTGTGGACAATGTGATGTTTCACTGTGGTAGGGGTTTACTTCAGGTTCGTCCTGTGGACAATGTGATGTTTCACTGTGGTAGGGGTTTACTTCAGGTTCGTCCTGTGGACAATGTGATGTTTCACTGTGGTAGGGGTTTACTTCAGGTTCGTCCTGTGGACAATGTGATGTTTCACTGTGGTAGGGGTTTACTTCAGGTTCGTCCTGTGGACAATGTGATGTTTCACTGTGGTAGGGGTTTACTTCAGGTTCGTCCTGTGGACAATGTGATGTTTCACTGTGGTAGGGGTTTACTTCAGGTTCGTCCTGTGGACAATGTGATGTTTCACTGTGGTAGGGGTTTACTTCAGGTTCGTCCTGTGGACAATGTGATGTTTCACTGTGGTAGGGGTTTACTTCAGGTTCGTCCTGTGGACAATGTGATGTTTCACTGTGGTAGGGGTTTACTTCAGGTTCGTCCTGTGGACAATGTGATGTTTCACTGTGGTAGGGGTTTACTTCAGGTTCGTCCTGTGGACAATGTGATGTTTCACTGTGGTAGGGGTTTACTTCAGGTTCGTCCTGTGGACAATGTGATGTTTCACTGTGGTAGGGGTTTACTTCAGGTTCGTCCTGTGGACAATGTGATGTTTCACTGTGGTAGGGGTTTACTTTAGGTTCGTCCTGTGGACAATGTGATGTTTGACTGTTGTAGGGGTTTACTTCAGGTTCGTCCTGTGGACAATACGATGTTTGACTGTGTTGGTGGGTTTTTTCTTGGACAAATGTTAAAGGCACATCAATTATGACATGTACATGCAAAAACACCTAAAAGTTATGATGCTGGCCAATGTTCAAGGAAATCATATGAAATTTTAGAACAAGGGTTGAATGTCAGATACAAAATTGGCAATAAGTCTTCAAAATAATCAATTGAACAGTCTGCCAGAAATATATACTCTCTAGAGAACAGCCTGACAGAAATAAATTCATTGGGGCAGTCCAATAGAAATGAATTTGACTGAAACAGTCTAACAGAACTTAATTTCACTGAAACAGTCCAACTGAAATAAATCTCAAACAGTCAAACAAGTAAAAATTACTGGAACAGCCTTATAACAATAAAGTTTCAATGCTATAGTTGTAATTGCTCAGCGTTTTTTTGTGAACTACAAGACTCCTTTACATGTATTTACAACCAACAAATTTCTTTCTCATAAATATTTATTTTTATGACATTTTTTTTTTTTTTGACAAAATAAATATTTCAGAATATACATATCAGCCTATACACTATACATTTGTACTTATAAAACAATCTTTTAACAAATGTAACAAGTAAACAGTAAAACCTTGTCATAATGCCACATATGTTCAGTAAAACCTTGTCATAATGCCACATATGTTCAGTAAAACGCTCAGGATATAAAAGGTTGTTCAGACACATTGAGATAAGAATTGTTTCGATAACAAAAGTACCGCAGAGGAAGAACATTATACACAAACCAATGCCAAAATAACAAACTTTGGTGTATTTTTGTATCACAATATATCAAAGTATTGAAACGTTGATGAGATAACATTACATCAGATTCTATGAATTACTGTATACCGGAAAATTTTGGCCCAATCCAATTTTCGACCTAATTAATGGTAAAATCCAATTTTGCCAAATTTTAAATTAACCCTTCAAATTTAATTACTATGTATGTAATGTTGTTTGCAAATGTTCACGTAATGATAAACTCGCCCTCATTAAGGAGGGTGAAAGGGCGAAAATCTAAACTGCAGTGTAAATTTCACAGTTTACAGTACTTCCACAAATAGCCAAATAATTCAGAGCTCATCTTAATTATCAGCAGACTTAACTCAAATTTGAACTCAGTCTTTGTAAAACATGAATATTGATGAGGTCTCATTAAAAAACAGTCAAATAATCTAAATAAATTAAGACATTGTGCAGAAGCTGTTGATCCATCAAAATGCAGCATGCTAAGTAGTTCTGTGCAGATTTTGCTCTATTAAATACTTAAATTCTGATGCTGGTATAAAAAGGAAATCTGTAAAAGATGTTGCAAGTAAGCAAGGTGATGAATAAAATGAGGGTTTTACAACAAGGTTTTCACTCGGTACAACAACAAGAGGTCCATAGGGCCAAGTTCAATAACAAGAGGCCCACATGGCCTATATCCTCATCTATTAAATTTGACAAGTAGATAAAAATTTGCTATACAAACTTGAGACTGTGGTTGCCACCTCAAATTGTTTTCGACCCAAAGCATTAATATAATAATAACACTGAGTAAGGTCAACAAAAACCACATTTGTACATGTTTAATTAAAATTCTCAAGTGCAAATTGAGAATCTTTAATAATATTTAAACCATCACAAGGCAGGGTAGTTATTTTGACTTTTGAATAAACCCAAAACATAACAGAAACTGAGGACACTGTTCAAGTCTCAGCCAATAAGATTCAGCGGACAGATGCCATCTTTGATAGGGAGATGGTTCGAAAGAATAACAAAACATGGTCAGGGCCATGAGTGGAACATTTGTGTACATTTTTGTAATAATCAGCCTGATTGAAATGGAGAAGTATGAAAATGTCATAGCAAATCAGAGGCAAAAGTGGTGAAAAATAAGGAATGGTCATGACCATTTGCAATAATTTAGGTTAATATTCACTTATTCAATGTGGAGAAAAACATTTTTTGTTTATATTTTATTTTTACCTTCCCCCCTATAAGGAAAGTCACAAACTACAGTTATACATCCATGAATTCTCATCCAGGAATAAATTTATTTGAATTTAAGGAGTAGTTTTTTAAAGAATACTGCATGGATGCCAAGAAATGTTTGCTACAGTTTAACTTCCACCTTTTTCTTCCTCTGTAATGAAGGCAACTTCACCAAATTGACAGCAAATATTAGTATACAAGTTATGTGAAGGGGGAAAATTGATGCTGGGTAAATACAGGTTTTAGCTATAAAGGGTGAAAATATGATTTGGCGAAAGTTTCCTCCAGGTAAACAGAACCTTCCATATCTCCTATTGGGCCCTTATTGTAAACCATTTCTATTGAAATGTTTCAGATTTCTATTAAAAGCCTTTACATTCAATTACAAAATTATGCATGCAACTTTACTTTTTACTGAGTGAGAAGTTGTACTGCTTGGTCCACATTGTTATCTGTCTGAATTAAAATGTCACTGAGAACTTCTGGGCTGTAGCTAGGGAACATGGCCTGTAACGTCTCCAGCTGTGAACTTTGACCTTCTGCTGCCTCATAATCAGTGAACTGTGAACTTTGGCCTCCTGGTGGGTTGTTAAGCTGTAGCCTTTCAATTGCTGGTAGATATTCATATGACCTTTGATCCTGGCTGTCTTGTGATGTGACGGGACCAGCAAGTCGTAGTGGAGAGTTATCATTGGATATAACTGATCCTGAATGTTTAAAAAAATAATTCATATTTTTCACAGGATTGTTTACATCAAAACACCAGTAACTGATTGAATCAATATTGATATCTTACTTGATCTACAATGGTTGATAGAAAAAGTATTGAAATTGAACCTATAAGGCAATTTTTAGATAATACATCGAAACAACAAATGAAATTTTCTGAGGTTTGAATAATTGATGGAAGCAACATCAAAATCTTATCTAAGCAACAACTAATTGATGGGAAAAAAAATAGAAATATTACCTGTACAACTAACTGTTTTTAAAAAACTGAAATCTTACCTAATTTAACTACAACTACTTGTTTTGGAAAAACAGTCAAATCTTACCTATGTTAAACTACAACTAATTATAATTGTTAGGAAAAACAGTGAAATTTTACTTGAGCTACAACTTATTGATGGAAACAATACTTAATCTTACCTGTGGTTGATGCACCTGGCCGTCGACTTTGACTTTCTAGTTTACTCAGGAATGCTTCATTTTTTCTGATTCAACAAAAGATATATAATATCTTTATATATATAAAACTGAATTAAATAAATCTGATTAAGAATTCATGTATTTGGTTCCATTAAAAATCACTAATTTCCCCTAGGGTTGTATCCCATGTATCATTAAATATCATCAAGAGCTCTGTATGTACGTACAAACAACCATCTACAATGTATAAACTGTCTCTTAATATTTTGATACAGTATAAGTTTTGGCAAACTGGTTTTAAAGAATATTTTCAAAGCTTTTCCCTTAAATGATCTAAGAATATATTTGATCTGAAGACTATACAGAAACCCTGAGGACTAAATTAGAGCCGTTTGCTCTACCCTAATGCTTGGTTTGTCACTAGTTCAATGAATAGATAATCAAATGTCCTAACCTTTCTCCCTATCATGTAAATCATCAGAGAAACCAATAGTTAGAACGAGATCCTAGTGGAGTATTGGTGGCAACCACTGCAAGATGTTCCTTAGTTCTATGTAAATTTGATCTTGTCCAATTTTTATTGGATCTGTAGTCTTTGTCAGCAGTAAATGCATGTAACTTTGATTAAAACTTCTCATAGCTTTGATTTATATGTCCTTTCAAATTTAACCAGTTTTTTAACTAAAGTAGTAAGGTGTAAAATATATATATAGAATGAGAAGTGTTTCTGTTTTCAGGCAGCTATATTTTTCTTCTGATAAAGTGACAACTTCAATCTCAAAACATGCTAAACTAAACAAGGCATTACTAGTGATACAAATCCCCTCGCATTCACACAATATGTAAGAGGAAATGAAGTCGCTACAGCAATGACATTTCTTTCTTCTAAAAACAGTAACAGTGACCTTGACCTTCAACACAGTAACCTGAAATGCGAACTGGTCCAACGTATTGTCATACCAATCAGTTGTATCAAGTTTTATGAAATTCTGTTGAGGAATTAAATTGCCAGAATGATGACAAAAAAAATCTAAAAATAGTAAAAGTGACCTTGACCTTTAATGCAGTAACCCGGAATGTGAACTGGTTCAAGGTATTTTCATACCAATCACTTGTATCAAATTTCATGAAATTCTGTTAAGGAATGGAGTCACCAGAGTGATGACAAAGTTTTTTTCTAAAAATAGTAACAGTGACCTTGACCTTCAACATAGAAACCCAAAATTGTTCAAGGCATTACCATACCAAACACTTGTATAAAGTTTCATGAAGTTCTGTTGAGGAATGAAGTCGCTAGATCCATGACAAAGAGTGTAACATACCTACATCCTCTAAAACTTTCGTTGCAAGGGGATAATAACTGGAAGAATTTTCTTATACCAAGGAAATATACAAATGAAATTTCAGAAAGGTCTGTGAAGTACTTTTTGAGAGATAGCAATAATAAACTTGAACTCTTGTTTTTCTGATCAGTCTCAAAATAAAACATGCACAGCTATTGACGAAGGGGAATCTTTATTCGAAATGTCTCGGCAGTACTTTTTGAGAATCAGTGATAACAAGAATTGTTTAAAGACAGACCAAGGGCAATCTAATGGGCTAAACCTATCTACCTCCTCCTGTCCTCGTCATATTTGAAGTGGTCCTGTTCTTGTCTGCTTGCCTCTCTCTGTTTGTTACTCTCAGCCTGAAAGAAAGTTACAAAGTTACTTATTTTTTTGCAAAATTATGACAAAACCTTGATTGATACAAACAAAAAATAAAACAATTAAGATATGTATTGCTTTGTTGATGTTCCTCTTGATGTTGTATTTTACCATGTTACGTCCAACCTTTTGTATGTATACCTTATTGATGTAGTTATATTGGTGTATATTCCGTCTTTGCGTATTGCAGAGTTATGTTCTCTTGAGAGCAGGTATTGATTGTTACGTCATTGGTTTGTGTGAGAAAATTCCGTCGTTTTCTCAAAAATTGATGCCGTTACTCTCACAAACAAATGACGTAACAATAAATACCTGCTCTCAAGAGAAGATTACTCTGCAATACGCAAAGACAGAATAGATTGAAAACAGACATTTGTCCCATCTTTAGGCTGAAATATGTTATATCAACTTACTTCCTTCCTTAAGGATTTCACACATAATTTAGACATGTACAATGTAGTTCACACATAGTTCAGACATCAACCATCAGTACATTTAATGTACAATGTAGTTCTTTCTCTATAAATTCAACCTATAAATATCAATCACAATCAATGAAGCGTTTGACAGTGAAGCCTCCGTTTCAGAAGACTTTCAACATATAAAGAGGACTTGACCAGTCACAGTGATGTAGGGTTTAACATAATGACCAACACTATTTATCCTGCTGTATGCCCAAGATTTGGTTTAGAATAGAATATCTTTGACATTACTATATACAGAAAAAAGTAAAGGTGTTCCAAACAGAAATTTTCACTTTACAGTGTTGCGTACCACAATGGTAATTCGGAAGTCATATCTGGGATGGAGAGGGGTAGGTAGGTGTGCAAATTTAAAAGTCATCCGGGAGGACTAGAAATTATCACATTATGCAGAAACACTCATGAGCATTAAACAAAGAGATAAGTTTAAACTAGGACTGTCACCAGAATGGCAGATGTATACCCCACCAGTGCCAGGAGCTAAAGGAATAGTTCATTCAAGAATATTTTGAAATAAACAAGGCAAAGTAATGCAAGGCAATTAATCCACAGTCCCCCATCGTTAATGATTTCTTTATTTACCAAGGTATACACCTAGCTCAGAACATAAGTCACAGTGACATACTTCTTGTACTTCACACTCCGCCAGCCAAGACCTACTGCATACCAAATCTGGTTACTCCAGGTGAAATAGTATAGAAGATGTTTAAGATGTGCCCCAGGAAACCTTCTTCAAAAGTCAAGTCAAAGCATAGGTCACAGTGATCTACTTTTTCGACTTCACACTCTGCCATCCCAAGATGTACATGCATACAAAATCTGGTTACTCCAGGAGAAATAGTATAAAAGATATGCTGCAGACAAACTATTTTAAAGAATAAGGTCAATGCAAAGGCCACAGCGACCTACTTTTTGTATTTGACATTTCCCCATCCCCAGATGTACTTGCCAAATCTAGTTACTCAAGGTGAATACATTTTCTAATTCAGTACTTCAATGCATTAGATACATTTGACATAATAATATTCTGAACAGAACTTATGTGAGAAGGGGCACAACTCTGAAAAATTTCATCCAAATTTAATGACACGCAAAAAGGCACAACATAACATAATAGGAAAGAATTATGTCAAGTTTCAGAGAAATCCCTTCCTGACTTTATAAGACATCCTTGACACCATATTCTGGACGAGAAGTTATACAAAAAGGGGTAATACTAAAGTAGTAGGTCAAGTTTGAGAGCAATCACTTGAGTACTTGATACACTTGACATAACTTTCCGGGCTGACGGTCAGACAGGAAGATTCTAATATACCCCACAACAACCTTATTTCGTTGCAAGTATTATAATTCATAAAGTAAAACATGTACCTTCATTCTCTGTTGTAGTTTCTTTTTTTCTAATTCACTCTCCTCCTTTCGTTTTCTTTCATCTTTGTACTGCTGCTGTTTTTTCTGTGATATTGATACACAAACACTAACATAATATCTGCTAATATGTTATCTATGATATATCTATAAGAAACACAACAAATCTCAAAGTACATACTGCAACATGAAGATATTACGTATATTAGTACATATATTCAAGATGATAGTTAAATGGCTCCTGAACATTTATAATGGACCAGAGTTGTCGAGGGACAGATCTAGAGGTCTGATCTGATTTTCTTGCAAACCTTCATTGATTAACACCTTAAAGAGGTCCACTAGGCTTCAAACATGTACGTGATACATTTTATTGTAGAGGGACTAGTAAATCACACAGATGAAAAGCTCTTTGATATTTAGATGTTTCTTTTTAAATCGATACATTTAGTACTTCATACATGTATATAATTCAAACAAAACACCTACTAAATACATTTATACAATGATGCATCATTACCAGTTTGTCTATCTTGCCAAAGCGTTCCCCATCAATCATCCTTTGCCTTGATTCTGCCATTGTTATCTGACCGCCCCCCGGCGTCCCAACGTAGCTGACATGACCAAGTTTCTGTTGCTGTTTGTGATTATCGTACTGCTCCTGTTCTCGTCTGGCCTCTGTCATACAAAAATAAGTCCAGTGTTATATTTGATTCTCGTCTGGCCTGTGTCATACAAAAATAATGCTGGTGTTATATTTAGTTCTCGTCTGGCCTGTGTCATACAAAAATAATGCTGGTGTTATATTTAGTTCTCGTCTGGCCTGTCATACAAAAATAAGGCCAGTGTTATATTTGATTCTCGTCTGGCTTCTGTCATACAAAAATAAGGCTAGTGTTATATTTGGTTCTCGTCTGGCCTCTGTTATACAAAAAAAAGGCCAGTGTTATAATTATTTCTCGTCTGGCCTCTATCATACAAAAATAAGGCCAGTGTTATATTTGGTTCTCGTCTGGCCTCTGTCATACAAAAAAAAGGCCAGGGTTATATTTGGTTCTCGTCTGGCCTCTGTCATACAAAAACAAGGCTAGTGTTATATTTGGTTCTCGTCTGGCCTCTGTCATACAAAAATAGGGCCAGTGTTATATTTGATTCTCGTCTGGCCTCTGTCATACAAAAATAAGGCCAGTGTTATATTTGATTCTCGTCTGTCTTCTGTCATACAAAAATAAGGCTAGTGTTATATTTGGTTCTCGTCTCCCTCTGTCATACAAAAATAAGGCCAGTGTTATATTTGGTTCTTGCCTGGCCTCTGTCATACAAAAACAAGGCCAGTGTTATATTTGGTTCTCGTCTGGCCTCTGTCATACAAAAAAAAGGCCAGTGTTATATTTGGTTCTCGTCTGGCCTCTGTCATACAAAAAACAGGCTAGTGTTATATTTGGTTCTCGTCTCCCTCTGTCATACAAAAATAAGGCTAGTGTTATATTTGGTTCTCGTCTGGCCTCTGTCATACAAAAATAAGGCCAGTGTTATATTTGGTTCTCGTCTGGCCTCTGTCATACAAAAATAAGGCCAGTGTTATATTTGGTTCTCGTCTGGCCTCTGTCATACAAAAATAAGGCTAGTGTTATATTTGGTTCTCGTCTGGCCTCTGTCATACAAAAATAAGGCCAGTGTTATATTTGGTTCTCGTCTGGCCTCTGTCATACAAAAATAAGGCCAGTGTTATATTTGGTTCTCGTCTGGCCTCTGTCATACAAAAATAAGGCTAGTGTTATATTTGGTTCTCGTCTGGCCTCTGTCATACAAAAATAAGGCCAGTGTTATATTTGGTTCTCGTCTGGCCTCTGTCATACAAAAATAAGGCTAGTGTTATATTTGGTTCTCGTCTGGCCTCTGTCATACAAAAAACAGGCTAGTGTTATATTTGGTTCTCGTCTGGCCTCTGTCATACAAAAATAAGGCCAGTGTTATATTTGGTTCTCGTCTGGCCTCTGTCATACAAAAATAAGGCCAGTGTTATATTTGGTTCTCGTCTGGCCTCTGTCATACAAAAATAAGGCTAGTGTTATATTTGGTTCTCGTCTGGCCTCTGTCATACAAAAATAAGGCCAGTGTTATATTTGGTTCTCGTCTGGCCTCTGTCATACAAAAATAAGGCTAGTGTTATATTTGGTTCTCGTCTGGCCTCTGTCATACAAAAATAAGGCCAGTGTTATATTTGGTTCTCGTCTGGCCTCTGTCATACAAAAATAAGGCCAGTGTTATATTTGGTTCTCGTCTGGCCTCTGTCATACAAAAATAAGGCTAGTGTTATATTTGGTTCTCGTCTGGCCTCTGTCATACAAAAATAAGGCCAGTGTTATATTTGGTTCTCGTCTGGCCTCTGTCATACAAAAATAAGGCCAGTGTTATATTTGGTTCTCGTCTGGCCTCTGTCATACAAAAATAAGGCTAGTGTTATATTTGGTTCTCGTCTGGCCTCTGTCATACAAAAAACAGGCTAGTGTTATATTTGGTTCTCGTCTGGCCTCTGTCATACAAAAATAAGGCCAGTGTTATATTTGGTTCTCGTCTGGCCTCTGTCATACAAAAATAAGGCTAGTGTTATATTTGGTTCTCGTCTGGCCTCTGTCATACAAAAATAAGGCCAGTGTTATATTTGGTTCTCGTCTGGCCTCTGTCATACAAAAATAAGGCTAGTGTTATATTTGGTTCTCGTCTGGCCTCTGTCATACAAAAATAAGGCCAGTGTTATATTTGGTTCTCGTCTGGCCTCTGTCATACAAAAATAAGGCTAGTGTTATATTTGGTTCTCGTCTGGCCTCTGTCATACAAAAATAAGGCCAGTGTTATATTTGGTTCTCGTCTGGCCTCTGTCATACAAAAATAAGGCTAGTGTTATATTTGGTTCTCGTCTGGCCTCTGTCATACAAAAATAAGGCCAGTGTTATATTTGGTTCTCGTCTGGCCTCTGTCATACAAAAATAAGGCCAGTGTTATATTTGGTTCTCGTCTGGCCTCTGTCATACAAAAATAAGGCCAGTGTTATATTTGGTTCTCGTCTGGCCTCTGTCATACAAAAATAAGGCCAGTGTTATATTTGGTTCTCGTCTGGCCTCTGTCATACAAAAATAAGGCTAGTGTTATATTTGGTTCTCGTCTGGCCTCTGTCATACAAAAATAAGGCCAGTGTTATATTTGGTTCTCGTCTGGCCTCTGTCATACAAAAATAAGGCCAGTGTTATATTTGGTTCTCGTCTGGCCTCTGTCATACAAAAATAAGGCTAGTGTTATATTTGGTTCTCGTCTGGCCTCTGTCATACAAAAAACAGGCTAGTGTTATATTTGGTTCTCGTCTGGCCTCTGTCATACAAAAATAAGGCCAGTGTTATATTTGGTTCTCGTCTGGCCTCTGTCATACAAAAATAAGGCTAGTGTTATATTTGGTTCTCGTCTGGCCTCTGTCATACAAAAATAAGGCCAGTGTTATATTTGGTTCTCGTCTGGCCTCTGTCATACAAAAATAAGGCTAGTGTTATATTTGGTTCTCGTCTGGCCTCTGTCATACAAAAATAAGGCCAGTGTTATATTTGGTTCTCGTCTGGCCTCTGTCATACAAAAATAAGGCCAGTGTTATATTTGGTTCTCGTCTGGCCTCTGTCATACAAAAATAAGGCTAGTGTTATATTTGGTTCTCGTCTGGCCTCTGTCATACAAAAATAAGGCCAGTGTTATATTTGGTTCTCGTCTGGCCTCTGTCATACAAAAATAAGGCTAGTGTTATATTTGGTTCTCGTCTGGCCTCTGTCATACAAAAATAAGGCCAGTGTTATATTTGGTTCTCGTCTGGCCTCTGTCATACAAAAATAAGGCCAGTGTTATATTTGGTTCTCGTCTGGCCTCTGTCATACAAAAATAAGGCCAGTGTTATATTTGGTTCTCGTCTGGCCTCTGTCATACAAAAAACAGGCTTATGTTATATTTAGTTCTCGTCTGGCCTGTCATACAAAAATAAGGCTAGTGTTATATTTGGTTCTCGTCTGGCCTGTCATACAAAAAGAAGGCTAGTGTTATATTTGGTTCTCGTCTGGCCTCTGTCATACAAAAATAAGGCCAGTGTTATATTTGGTTCTCGTCTGGCCTGTCATACAAAAAATAAGGCTAGTGTTATATTTGGTTCTCGTCTTGCCTCTTTTATAAAAAAAATAAGGCTTTTGTTATATTTGGTTCTCATCTGGCCTGTCATACAAAAACCAGGCTAGCGTTATATTTGGTTCTCATCTCCCTCTGTCATACAAAAATAAGGCTAGTGTTATATTTGGTTCTCATCTGGCCTCTGTCATACTAATACATTAATGTTGTTGGTCTCAAGTAAAAGCAATATAAAGTTGCTTCTTTTCCCTATTTACCACACTTTATTTCAAATGATTAAGTGCTAATTACATTATTAGAATTTTCTTGATCCAGGTCCAGTCTATAATTTTTCAAATTGGGTATAAGATTTAAAGTCTACACCACATTCAGTACATTGACCCAATTATCTATCCTGTTTAAATTTTATTTCTATAAGTAAAATAAAGACTATTGTGTTGCAACTCTTACCAAGGTCACAACTTTCCAAATTTCAAAGAAACACTGGCTGTAACCTAAAATTATCTACACATAGTGTCCTTACATATCTTGAGCTTGTGATGAATAACTTACGTTCACTTATGGCTTGACGTTTCTTCTCATTAGGTGTTATCATTGTGAATCCTCCCTGACTGGAAATGAAAACATTTGTTTAATTTACATTTTATGTTTGTTTATCTATCATTTGTTCTTGATAAGGTTACGAGCTAGTATATCACTATTCCAACTATTAATTTGTTTTTGTTTTGAACACTAATAAATAAACTGATAAGAATAAAACTGACATTATAATTTTTTTTTACCTAGAATGTATGTTGTGATTTTCTCTTTCAGTTTCTTGTATGAAAAACCTGTTTAGTTTGATCAATACCCAGTATATTAATTATAGCTATTATACCAGGAAGTAAATAACATTAGGCACAGACTTTCACTTTCAGTTTACAATAAAATATCCGTACTTGCTTCAGATTATGAAATACAGCGTAGTGTATTCAATCAAATTATTCTTTAAAATGATTATTTACAGAACGTTGTGTAGGTTTCTTTTTCAACTTTATTCGTTTAATGCCACAGTGACTTAAGTGTATGAAGAAATAAAACAAAAAGTTTTCTTTCTTTTACATTTATTAACCATCACATGGGTTTGGCTGGTTTTTTGTCCTACACTACTTTTAAAGCAAATTGCATGTCAGATCACAGCTAATACTTATATAAATAAACTCCATTTCAGTAGAAGGTCCTATTTATGATAATGAGTATGTCATGTTACAAGAGCACAACCACAAAAGTACGATAACACGTATTGACGGGACCACTATATGATCAGTCACTTACTGATAGGAATGTCAGTAAGTGACTGAGTTGATGAGTTAGTTTCACTTTACCCGTTTACGATAAGTCTATACACAGTAACATTGATCAACTTACTAAGACACCCGTTGCTCTTGTGATGGCGGTTCATCCTGTTCTTGAGGCGGCTGTGGGGCATCCATTCCTCTTCCTCTGACCGACGAAACTCCTCCCCGTCCGTTAGTAGTAACTCCTCGACCTCTTCCTCGGGATGCGAGAGGTTGCCTAGGTGGTGGAGCGCGAGTTGGTGAAGTTTCCCTACCAGTAGGTCTAGTCGCCTCGCTATTCTTCCGCGTTCCACGTCCTCGTGCGTTAGTCACTGTTGGCTTACTGGTGTATGTTTTACTCATGATTGGGTTTCCTATGTATATTATTCACCTACTTTCTGTTTAACTGGTTTCTCTGAATCTACGAACTATCAACCGGATGTAAACATTCCATCACGCCCCCTAGCGGGAGGCCCAATTTTCTAGGTTGCACTAGCTCTACCAATTATAACACTTCAAAACCTGAACCAATGTACTCGACATGCCGATATTTCATATGAAATTAAAGAAACGTAAACCACTTAATGATTCAAGCTATATATATATATATATATATATATATATATATAAAACTCTGAGATCATCTTCATTGTTTAATTACATTAAATAGATTTTTAAATCCCTAAAATAATGTATGCCATATATAATTTATAACAAAATTATTATTAAATTATTCAGTGAGTCTAATTCATCTGTAATAAATCGCCCATTACCAACTCGAAAGAAAAAGTAATTTCACAGAAATGGACAAGTGTGGTCCAACTCATCCAAACAAGGACATTTGGTTGAACAGAGTTTATAGTCTTCCAACCAAGGATACTTTTGGCAAAACATCATTACCCTGGAGCTTTTGGTTATACAGAACAAGTCATTTAAGGATTTAAACATTTATTGACCACTGTGACCTTGAATAAGGGCAAAGGTCATTCATTTAACAAACTTGGTAGCCTTCATCATGTTAATGACCAAATAGCATCACCGTTGGTCTTTTGCTTATTGAGAAGAAGTTGTTTCAAGGTTTAAACATAGTTGACCCCTGTGACCTTGAATATATGTAAAGGTCATTCATTTGGACAACCTTGGTAGCCCTTTATCCCAGCAAGTTACTGGCTAAATATCATTATCTTAGGCCTTTTGGTTATTCAGAAGATTATAGCTGTTTAAAGTTTTTTTAACATATTTGACCCCTTTAACCTTGAATATAAGTAAAGGTCATTCATTTGAACAAACGTGGTAGCCCTTTATCCTTGCAAGTTACTGGCCAAAAAGCATCATCCTAGGCCTTTTTGTTATTGAGAAGAAGTTGTTTAAAGGATTTTGGCATATTTGACCCCTGTGACATTGAATATAAGTCAAGGTCATTCATTTAAACAAACTTGGTAGCCCTTGATCACAGCATGCTACTGGCCAAATAGCATCATCCTAGGCCTTTTGGTTATTGAGAAGAAGTTGTTTAAATGTTTTAAACATGTTTGACCCCTGTGACCTTGAATATAAGTAAAGGTCATTCATTTGAACAAATGTGGTAGCCCTTCATCCTATTATGTTACTGGCCAAATATCATTATCCTAGGCCTCTTAGTTCTTCAGAAGAAATTGTTTAAAGATTTTTTAAGACAATTGACCCCTGTGACCTTGAAAATAGATGAAGGTCATTCATTTGAACAAACTTGGTAGCCCTTTATTCCAGCATGCTACTAGCCAAATATCATCACCCAGGGCATTTTGGTTATTGAGGAGAAGTTGTTTTAAGTTTTTAACATATTTGACCCCTGTGACCTTGAAAATAGGTGTAGGTCATTTATTTGAACAAACTTCGTAACCCTTCATCCCAGTTTGCTTCTAGCCAAATATCATCACCCTAGGCCTTTTGGTCATTAAGAAGAAGTTGTTTAAAGTAAAATATTGACGCCGGGTGCCGGACGGACGTCAGACGGACGGATGACGGACGCTGCACCACGGCATAAGCTCACTTGGCCCTTCGGGCCAGGTGAGCTAAAAAGGGGTTAGAAATTACCATGACCTTATTTCAAGGCTACACAGGTTAAATTTGTTAAAACACTCAACTTGCTTCTTTTGAAGAACCAAGAGGCCTAGAATCATCATATATTGTCAGTGGCTTGCTCACATTGAGGGCTACAACATTTGAGAGAAAAAACATCTTAACCAGAAGATTCAAGGTCTCAAAGGTTGAATAAGTTAAAACTCTCAAACAAAGTTCCGCTTTTCTATTTCATAACATTTTTTTTATGTGTACCCATTGACGTCCCCGTTAGCCTCTTTGTAATTAAAAACATTCACCTGACAAATGACAAAATAGAGGTCATACTATATTCAAAATTACAATTCACTTTTAAGAGTATACACTGTTGATTAATTTTTACCTTTAATGGTTCTACTTTCAAGTTTCATTCAGCCAGAAAAATAATCATACAAAAAAGTTGTTTTGTAATTTTGTTTTATTTTTTTTCCATTTTTTAGCTTCTACCTCTTATACATGTACCAGCATTCAACATTTTTTCATATTATTTCTGACAAGTGATTGAACCTGTGGACAATACGTGATTATCATTAATATAAAAATAAGAGCCTTTGCCGAGATCGATTCTCATTCATGATATTTCAAATATTTCCACACCTTTGTGTTGGCAACTATGAGAACAACACGTTTTCTTTATATAAAACATGATATCTTGGTCTAAAAATGCTTCGTTTGAAATATGACCAACTGTTGAGGGGGATATCAATAGTTTCCATGTTATGCTCACACATTTACACATCTTTGAGCAAAGTCCCAAGCAGTGGGTTCAGACCCAACAGCTGTGATTGGTGTTCCTTTCTTCAAACCAGCAAGCAAATAGGGTAGAGGGTAGACATCTCAAACTTTCTATCTTATGACCAAGAACTATGTCCTTCATTTAGGTGGGGCCTGGAGACAATCAGGGAAGCAAAATTACATCCATCTCTTCATGTCAAGCAATCATATAAATGATTATAGGTTAAGAATCTCAACCATTTCAATATTATGACTAAAGGATCACTGTGACCTTGAAAGAAGGTCAAGGCCATATAAATGATGCTAATTTTAAACCATTTCATCCAAGGTACCTACCAACATGACAAACCCTGTGCCTTGTTGAATATGAGAAGATGTTTGAACTTTTATATATTATAATCATTGGCGGCCATTAATCTCCACCAGCATTCAAAGTTAATTTTTTTAACTCAATACAATATATTTTTTTAAATGTTTCATTAACTAAAATTACCTAATATCATCTCAAGTTGAAATAAACAAATTATGTAAATGTAAAAACAAGAGGCCCAATGGGCCTGCATCGCTCACCTGGTATAAAACTCACACTTGTAACCTTAAAAGTGATCTAAAATAAAGCTACAGGCAAAATATCAGTATTTATGATTAAAATTCATTCAAAAGACCCTGTTAACTTTTTTTTAAACATATCACCCCTGTGATTGAAAGTCGAACAAAGTCATTATGTTGAACACATTGTATAGCCTTTCATCTCAGGATGCAACTTGCAAAGTATAAACATCCTGGGACCCATGGTTATTCATAAGAGGTTGTTTAAAGATTTTAAACAAATTTGACCCCTGTGACCTTGAATATAAGTCAAAGTCATTCACTTTAACAAACATAGTAGTCCTTGATCCCAGCATATGCTACTAACTAAATATCAACATCCTGAGCCTTTTGGTTATTCAGAACAAGTTGTTGAAATATTTTAAACATATTTGCTCCTTGTGACCTTGAATATGATTCAAGGTCATACATTTAAACAAACTTGGTAGCCCTTGATCCTAGTATGCTACTGACTAAATATCATCACCCAGGGCATTTTGGTTATTCAGAAGAAGTTGTTTAAAGTTTTTAACATATTTGACCCCTGTGACCTTGAATATGGGTGAAGGTCATTTATTTGAACAAACTTTGTAGCCCTTTATCTCAGCATGCTACTGGCCAAATATCATTACCCTGGGCATTTTGGTTATTGAGAAGAAGTTGTTTAAAGTTTTTAACATATTTGACCCCTGTGACCTTGAATATGGGTGAAGGTCATTCATTTGAACAAACTTTGTAGCCCTTCATCTCAGCTTGCTACTGGCCAAATATCATCACCCAGGGCATTTTGGTTATTCAGAAGAAGTTGTTTAAAGTTTTAAACATATTTGACCCCTGTGACCTTGAATATGGGTGAAGGTCATTCATTTGAACAAACTTTGTAGCCCTTCATCTCAGCATGCTACCGGCCAAATATCATCACCCTGTGCATTTTGGTTATTCAGAAGAAGTTGTTTAAAGTTTTTAACATATTTGACCCCTGTGACCTTGAATATGGGTGAAGATCATTCATTTGAACAAACTTTGCAGCCCTTCATCTCAGCTTGCTACTGGCCAAATATCATCACCCAGGGCATTTTGGTTATTCAGGAGAAGTTGTTTTAAGTTTTTAACATATTTGACCCCTGTGACCTTGAATATAATTGAAGGTCATTTATTTGAACAAACGTTGTAGCCCTTCATCCAAGCATGGTACTGGCCAAATATCATCTCCCTGGGCAGTTTGGTTATTGAGAAGAAGATGTTTAAAGTTTTTAACATATTAAAACCCTGTGACCTTGAAAATATGTGAATGTCATTAATTTTACCAAACTTTGTAGCCCTTCATCCAAGTTTGCTTCTGGCCAAATATTGACACCCTAGGCCTTTTGGTTATTAAGAAGAAGTCGTTTAAAGTAAGATATTGACGCCGGACGGACGGACGACGGACAGACGACGGACACCGCGCCACAGCATAAGCTCACTTGGCACTTCGTGCCAGGTGAGCTAATAAGGCATTGGTAAATATATGGTTTTCTTGAGTTGATTAAAATATCAATATTGACTTCAGCTTAAGGTTGTAATTATATTACAAAACATATCCTTCATGTACAGATAGTTAAAACAAGAGATCCCAAAGGGATCTTGGCGCACACCTGATGATAGTCATTAGTTCTATGTCAGTTTGATATTTTCTCTTCTTTTCTCTTATCTGTTTGATCAGCTTGCCTATCTCCCATCTTAATAAATGTTTTAATCAACCGCAAAAGTTAACATGAACAACTCAGGACCATTGAGTGAAGGGGAACCTACATAATTTATCAAATTTAAGAAAAAATCCTCCAGTTAATTCTGAGAAATATTGCAAACTTTCATTCTCAATTCAAGATGGCCATCTTTAATATGGGTAACTAAGGGTGATGGGGAACTTTGATGACAAATTTGAGAAAGACCCCTCCAGAACTTTCTGAAAAACAGTGCTAACAAACTAACTCTCAAATTTAAGATGGCTGTCTGTCAGCCATCTTGGTTTTGTGATCAGTCCCAAAAATTGATATTGGGATTAGGATGATGGGAAACCTATATGTGAAATCTGAAAAATATCCCTCCAATGCTCTATGAAAAATAGCACTAACAAACTATCATTCTCAAATTCAAGATGGCTGGCTGTCGGCCATCTTGGTTTTGCAATCAATTCCAAAATAGGATATGCATAACTAGGGATCATGGGAAACCTTCATGTAAGATTTGAAAAAAGATCCCTCCAGTACATTTTGAGAAATAGCGCTAAAAATCTTTGACCTTCAAATTCAAGATGGCTGCCTGTGGGTCATTTTGGATTTGCAATCAGTCCCAGAAAACGATATGCATAACTAGGGATCAAGGGGAACCTTCATGTAAGATTTGAAAAAAGATCCCTCCAGTACTTTCTGAGATATAGCGCTAACAAGAAGGACAGACGGAATGACAGACGCAGGGTGATTTGAATAGCATACCATCTGATGATAGTGGGCTAAAAATAGCTGATGCATTGAATATACATGAAGGAATGGAGATGGATGGACAGCAGGGAATGGAGGATGTAAAGCGACTAACAACATGTGTCTGTCTGGCAACTGTAATGACATTTTTTTATCTTATCTGATCTAATCTCTCAGTATTATAACACAACATCACATAACATATAATTTCAGACAAACATTCTCTAGATATGAACAAAATATAACCCTCATATGTTGTCTTTTTATTGCATGATATTTTATTTTCATTTTGTTGAAAAAATGTCAAATTTACAATTTCGGGAATGCCCACAATTTGAGACTATTTTCAATGACATCACAGTTCTCCTCGTCAGAATCATCGCTGTCATCCACACAGGAGAAATGTCTCTGGCCTGAGGCTGAGGCTAAAATTGGCAGGTACGGGTGTAAACTGAAAGTGAAGAGATGACAAAATAACTACACAAAAAAAACATAATTTATAGTAAATATCATCAAATGTTTTATCTAATACAGGACAGTAAACCCCTGTTCAGAATAAACAGATTTCAAGATTATTAATTTACATTAAGTTGTGGCGGTTGGGTGGCTCAGTGGACAATGCACAAGCCTTAAATGAAGGTGGCTGAGATTTGATTCCCTACGTGGGTATGAAAAGGTACAGAGTCTTCTGCCCAATCTTGTGGGTTTCTTCTCACCACTCTGGTTTCCTCCCAGATAAAGACACAGTCACACTTTACACATTTCGATCCAGGTCAACAAGAGTTATCAATATAAGTTGATAAAATTTGTTTCCATTTTTTTTTTTTAAATAATTATTTTTCATCGATAAGGAATCAGTTTCTTTCTTATATTGTGTCCAGATTATTAGACTTGTATGGTGATAATGTTTGTTTCTTAATTTTTTTGTAACCAAACAATGAGGAAGCAGATATTTTTTTTTGTATTATGACCAGATTATTAGACATTTATTATAGTCATAATTATCTAGACTGACCTCATTTTATTGGCATATATATTAACGGTACAGAGGAATCACATACCCGATTCCATTGACAGTATCCTTGTGTGCTGGGAACTTATTGATGACTTTGAGGACGGGATCCTGGCCAGGAAACAACTCCTCTGGGGCAATGGTGGTGTCCCAAACGTTCACCGTACCATCATGGCTACCGGAGAACATGTACCGCCCACTCCTGTCACAACATAACAAAGGCTAGCACTGTTTTAATACATGTATTTTACTACTGCTTTCAGGACACAAAACAGTCCATGCATCCTCGATATTCCAGGGGTTCCGCTCTCTGCACCTCTGGAATATGTCATAGCAAAATTGAAGGCACGCAGCTAGCTATTTGATTGGTCTCAGGTAAAAATACCTGACCAATCACTAGGCTGATACATGCATCCTTTGAAGATTACAGGGGAGCGACACCCAACTTCAAAGCAAGGGAATTTTACTGTAATGCAATCACAAGATTCTTTTGATGTACATTAAAGGATCAAACATATTCCAGGGGTGCAGAGAGCGAAAAGTGAACGGAACCCCTGGAGTATCCAGGATGCAGTCCAAGTAGCACCATTATACTTTAGTACTCCCATCAGGACAAAATCTGTTCTTCTACCATATTTATCTGGCAATAAGTTAATTCATATCTACCATTTTACAGTTCAGTAGAGATGCTTACAGATGCTGTTAAAGTCTGATATTATATGTTGGCGTATCAAGTCACAACACAGCTGATAAAGCATTATCAGAGTCTTATAAAACTCCTACAAGGACACAGTTTACGTTAAACAGCCTTCATTATGGTCGTATTGGCATCCATTGATTACCTAGTCATACAGTCACACAAATACATTGTGAGAGAGATACTGTTAATATTCTCCATTTGGAAGTGCAGACGTCATATTAAAGGTCCATACACCTGATTCTTTTGTTATTTTTACTTTTTAGAACATTCTGAACAATACCAGATGAGAAAAAACAAAATCAGAAGAGGCAGAGGATATGGTTGTATCTCATTTTAACAAGTATTTACAGTAACATGGTCTCACCTGTCAAGTTCAAAGTAAATCCTCTGATTAGTCAGCACTTGTCTCAGAGCTACAAACAAAATCCTTCCAGGATATCGCAAATCCCAGCAAATTATTTCAGGATCCTGGAAGTTAAAAAACATTTCAGATCAATTTTAAGATTTACCAATGCGTAACTTTTGGATTAAATGCCATACCATTAGCCTTACAAAACATGTTGTACAGTACACATGTTCAAAATCATAAGACTTAAAAAACGTGTATAACACACATGTTCTCCATTCCATTTGAATTATAAACTGTTCAACAAATGTACAACACACACGTAGCATATAACTAAACTTCAAAAAATATGTACAATGAACATGTGTACTATAGACATTATTGGTAGAAGAAAATCCCTGTACCAAATAAAACATAAACAATTTTAGTTGTAAAATTAATCGTACATAAGGATGCAAATTCCAAATGTTAAATGGTACATTAGGCTTATTATTTTGCATTGTCCATACTTGTCAAATATCACAACATCCAGGTTACATACACTGACAACACTGGTATGGTTGGTACGCAAAAGAGCGTAACTATAGTTATAATTATAAACTGTACACACAAGTGCTGTCTCCAGCAGAACCAGAGCACGCGGAGAGGAGAGGGAGTATATGTGTGGGTGGGTCTGGAGTTCCTCCCACAGAAGAACATTTCATTATGTATTATTTTAATGTCGTTGTCTGCGCCAGCGAAAAGGATTATGCTACGTCATATTTAAAAAAAGAAACGCAGTTACGTCTATGTATGCTGGAAATTGATGGAAGATATATAAGGTAAACTCCATTGATACAATACACTGGGACACACACTATATACAGATCTAACAAATTACCCGACAACACAAACAACAACTGGAATGATTTGTATGATGCAAAATAATATTTAAACTTACTTTACGTCCCCCGCTATAGAGCTTGGTTCCATCAGGAGAAAAGGCCAGATGAGTTACTCCCCCTTGCTGTCCATCAAACATACATGCCATTTCCCCTTTAGGCTCGCAATACACAGCAACTACAAAGCATCAACATAAGCTTCTCTAGGCCTCGTGTTTGATTAGGTTGTTTAGAGTTTCTAACACATTTGACCTTTCAAACATTAATGTTCATCAATACCATTTATTTTAACAAACTTGATAGCCCTTATCCCTTCAGGTTACATATACAATGAATTTGTGCATTGTAATTACTGAAAAGAAGTTGCTTGAAATTTTCAACACCTGTGATCTATTGACCTTGAAAGTGGATTAACATATTTTTGTTCAACACATTAGAAAGCCATTCTCCCTAGCAAGTTATATTTCAAATATCATGAACCTAGGACTAATGCTTATTTATAAGAACTTTATTTTAATGAGTTGATAATAAACAGATGCTTTGCATATTGAACATTCCCAATACCAGGTTACTTGTTGGGTATTCATAATTAGCTAATTGGTAAGTCACTTACTAGCCCTGGAGTAGGATCCTGCAGCATACATTCCTGTATCCTGGGGACTTGGAACTATACATGAGATGATACCAGGCTGACCTGTTTTAGCTGAGGAAAAAATGTGAAACTTGTGATAGCTACCTGTATATATACAGGTGGTATAAGTTGTAAGGGGACAGGTGATCTGTGAGGCAGGTTTGATTGTTGTTATAGATATTTGATTTTTAAGGTAGGTTTCACCATAATAGCTAAAGACAAGTGATCCCAAAGGAAGGCTTGACTGCCATATTCCTTCAATGTCAAGTCAATATGAAACATCTTGATTGTCACTACTGTACTAATTATACACTAACGATGATGCTACCAAGTAGGATGAAATCAAGAGTTTCAGATATCAATGTCTCAGGTTCACATGAATATATAAAATGTGAACACATCCTTGCGAACCTAAGGGTATATGCTACCTTAATTATTTATCAAGGGAGACAACTCTTACACAAATCACAGGTTAAACAAAACAAGAAAATCAGTAAAACTGATGGATTATACTCCCTGAAAATTGACCCTATAGCGTTATGAGACACTACCTTGCAATCCTCCATACATCCTGAAAACTTCACTGACTTATCTACAGTGAGTTAGAAGTCATGATCCTGACAATCAGTTTAACATTTGACCTCAGTGTGACCTTGACATTGGGCATATGGACCAGATAGTCGTTCATAACATGACACCGTGTTTTCCGATATATATCTCTAAAAATTCATTTAGCTATCTTCAGTGAGTCAGAATATATATTCCTGACAAGGATTTAGGATAGACAGACAAAGCAGTGACTACACACTCCATGAATATTTATTCATATAAATCAGCATTAATGCATGTGTGCTTGCAACTACATGTATGTAACTTTATCCAACATCCTCAATTAGTTACATCTGTACAAATGATCATTCAGTTAAAGTGGATTATTTTGGAATAGATATGCATATCACAATACAATCTGATTAAAATCATATGTTACATGGCTTCGTTAACTTCATACTACGCCTGAACATCTGTGTGCCAGGGTCAGGGTCACGTTCAGGTGACCTTTATATCTATAAATACTCATTAAATTTTGACCAATCAGAGACCCTCTTTCAAAAGGGCGCACAGAGTTGTAACAAATATGGCGGACATTGATGAGAATGACGCGAAAGTTCTGAAGTTATTTGAGATTGATCTTCTGAAACCCGAACAGAAAAAGATATTCGAAGCTTTATTAGAGAAGAAAGACTGTATGGCGGTGTTGCCTACGCAATTATTACCCAATGGGTACGTTTTCCTTGGCGTCGTAGAAACGTCAGTTCCCGCCGGCATATTTGTTTTGGAAAACTAATCTGTTCGATACCCCTCGCTATTTATCTATCAACCATGATATTCCTATTCGCTGGCAAACGTTTGCCAGCGCGCCTCTAAATGGTTCATCTAAAGGTCACTTGAACCTGACCGCGGCACATTCAGATGTTCAGGCGGAGCCATGTAACAGATGATTTTAATCAGATTGATCACAATAAGGTAGTACATTGTACATCACCTTTAGTGATGATATTTACTTTTCGAATGCTGTGTGCTGTAGTACGTTGGCCTGGTAACACAGTCTCTCCCTGGTCTTGCCATATCAAATATTCGAATCACCTTGTTAAATCCACAATATAGTTTGGTCCCATCACAGTTAAAGGCTAAACTGTAGGCCGAGGCGATCTCATCCTGGAAAGGCAAAATTATGTTTGAAAGAGAAATATAATAACATAAGCTAGACAAAATTGGAACTTTGTTTTTTGTATTTTTTAAATTAGGAACATATTTCCTGTGTGATTACAGAACAGATACACTGTAATGATGTCACTGAATTATTCCTGAAATTAACCATTTCTCAAATCAAACTATTACATTCCCGACAGACTGTCAGACAAGAGGTAAATGAGGTTTTAAATTAGGTGACATAATCTTATTACAATGTCATACCATGGTTCAAAGGCAAGTAATTATACAATAAATTTTGTATTTCAATTGTTTGTTTATGTTCCTTTTTCCATTATTTTTTTTTACTTATTATTATGTTTGATCAGACAAACTTCAGACTTGATCTCACAGGATTTCTCTGTATTTCATTAAAAAGAGGTAACAACACCATAACTCACAAGGTGGTTGTAGGGCCGGTAGGTACACCTTATTTCTCCTGTGTTGGCATCCCACAAGTGGATGGGGCTGTCTTTGGATGTGGAAACCAGACTACAAAACACACAACAGACACTGCACTTCAATCTACACACAGGATTTATCAATCATAGTTTTCCTGATATTGTAACTGTCAATAAATTACGAAATAACAGGGAAAACAGTTGTTAATGAAGCTATCAAATTCATTCCTTCAAACATATGTGTGTAATGTTTCCAGTGGTATATTCAAACCTTTGTGTACATAACATTTTAAAGATAACACAATTATGCCAAATTTATTTGAAGTGAATCATTTTTGTTCCACTCAGATTTGAAAACTTGTTCATGTACGCACAGCATTTTTGCTGCTGAGGTGAAATAGATGGGGGTACTGTTGCTGTGACTATAGTTAGATAAATATGATACACTTCAATAATTCACATCACAGTCAACTCTAACTTAAATGACTAAGATGTCAAGTGTCAATTTTTACCAAAACTTTTTGATAATAGGTGTGAGATAAAGAGTGCATTATTATGCAGAGGTATGGAGGATATTGAAATTTTACTGTTAGGTGTAAACAACCCCCCAATCCTGCCCAGTACTCTTTTCTATTGGTCCAACATAGGACAGCAGTCACATTGTATTAGGTGCAGGTATCATATATGAACCTTTTGGGGCTGCTCAGAATCTCAACCTGCCTCAATTAAGACAATACATAATAGAATTTCCATATCCCATATATTCTACATCTCTTTTGTGATGGGCCTGTCACTCTAGTTATCTTTACCATTGAGTATTTGGATCATCAAACACCATCTTAGGATACCAGCAGTAATCGTAGATTGTGTCATTTTCTGTTAACTTCAGGGCCGAGGTCTGCAACAGAAAGAAATTAATTTTTGATACAACCCATATTCTCAGGTTCTTATGAATCTCATATTACAGATTATCATTATTTTACTCTAAAAGCAATATTCCCTTATGGAGGGATTTCTCCAAAATTATTAGTAAGTATTGGTTCTGATGACAGCAATTGTAGCTAGCCAAAACTTGTACACGGTAAACAAACTATGAAATCAAGATGTTGATGCTCCATCTTTTCTATTATATTTTTTCTCTGTTTTTATATCAAATATTCCACTTGCTATTGGCCTATATTTTATAGTACCCCTACTAAAACCATTGGAGTAATTCCTTTCCATCTTCTTGATTTATTGTTTACGTAAATATTATGAATAACATTGAAAATTATAAACTATATTCTTGTTTAGTTTTCTTTAAATTTGTGTGTTATGGTACCATTTCAGGGATCCCCTCATTGTGCCCCTCGTACAGGGGTTGTGGGAGGTTGATGAGCCTCAGACAGTTATCATTGCTGTTGGTGAGAATACACGTCCCATCAGGGGCCCTAAAGGGGGAATAAAATTATAATTATTTATGGTTAAACACACAATTACTTTATCATTGACCACTAATTAGTACAGTAGACACCAATTAATGGCCTATTTGCAAGAAAAAGAAATCTGAATTATTCAATTTGCCAAAAGTGAAAGTATGACTGGCTAGCTACCATGAATATTAATGATGATGACCTGGCTAAGAATTGAAGTGAAGTGTGTTGATGGTTCGTTCTTTAATTTCCAAATTAAAAGATAAATTCAAACATACTGAAAATACTCAGATAAAATATCATCTGTAGTGTTACCAGTACTTCCCTTCTATCATAAAGAAATTGAGAAAAAAAAGTGTGAATTTTACTTAACAAATTGAAGAAAGAAATGGGCAAAGAAATATATATTGAATTATTTGTATCATATGATGTTGCATATACTTATTTTCACATCATCATAGACAAGCCTGATATTTAGCATGTGCAATAACAACCATTGTGACAATGCTATCAGGAACAATAAGATGATATCAGGCAAACAAGTTGTAGCATTTCTTCTGTTTTCCTTTTTTTGGACTTTAAGTGTTACAAAATGCAGTCCTTTTCATTCAACCTGACTTTTTATGACACTAATTGGAGCTGGTTTCATAAATATAGTAAATGTTTGTAAAGAAGTGCTTACAGTTTTAAACAAATTATTGTCACATTTTTTTAATTTTTCACTCACCACTTGCAGCCCTTGAGGAAGTTATCGTCTGTGGTGTTGAACTCTGTCTTGGTTTCAGTAATGTATGTAGGTTTCTCCGTAAGTATCATACCCTCCTGACTATAAATAGACAGAGTTTCACATTGTAGTCAAATATATTGTATACAGGTTAATATATATACATGTAGGGCAAATAGAGAAAAGTTTACACATGACATTATCATTACCAGTATATGTACTCTATACTCATCAGACAATTAATGATCAGTAAAGTATACATTCACTTAGTTTAACCCTTTCACCACTGTAGACCATAATAGACTCATCCAGATCAATGAATGATAGAGTCTACTTAAGTTACATAGGGGTGAAAGGGTTAAAAAGTAAGAGTTGTACATGCTTTGTTTTTAAAAAATAGAAAGAAAAAAATTAAGCGCAATCGATTTTGTGAGTTATATATATCCATATCATGAACTCAAGCACCTCACAGATAAACCTGTGGTTTTATAATGAGGATACGTATCAACCTCTCCATTTCCTCTTACAAATTCAAGTTCTAAGGTCAAACTTTCCTTGAAAATAATTAATTGAAATATAAGTTACAACATATTAATGCAAGTGATTTACAATGATCTAGATTTTTTTGTGTAAGTAAAATAAATAAATGATGATTACTCGTACATACTGATATCATTTTTAATTGTGTTTTAGAAAATAAATTTGGCACATAAATTAGACAATTAAAATTTTGTCAATTACATATAAGATAGATTTTTACCAAAAGATAATCGTGTCAACTTTTTTGTTATTTCAATGCCATATCTTATTTATATTACAATGGAGTATAGAACTTCCATTGTTTTCTAAGATCTGCTATACATAGCTACCTGTAGTAAGAAGCCTCATCCTCTGGCTGTTCACTGCCCGGCATGTCAGCTTTGTCATCACTTTTTATATCTGTATTTGGGTCATCAGTATCACCATCTGTAGGGGCCTGCACTTCCATCTGAGAACACACAGGTTCAGCCTGCACGCTACTTGTATCCATGTCACTATTTTCCAAAACAGTTTCTGCTCCACAGGTTTCTTTATCGGACGTCACAGATGCAGAATCTAACATAGGTTTTGTCGTCATTGAATCCGAGTCTGATACACAAGTGTTTTCAACTCTGAACCTTTTCTTTGGAGGTGCCATACTCTGTGTGTCATCCCTGTAAGGGGAACAGTGTTGACTTGACGTGGAATCATTTTTAGGAAGATTAGTTACTTGGCTGGGGAAAATATCAATTCCACCGTCATTGATGTTGGAATCTAATCCTTGTGAATTTGAACAAGGTGCACTGATTTGTGTAGATAAATCTGTCAACACTGTACATACATCCAAACTCTTGTCCGACGTTAATTCGGTCGTCTGTCCACTTGTTACTTGTGTTTCTTCAGGTTCTGTTACCGGCGGTAATTTTGTTTCATTACTGATAAAGTCTTCACTACACAATTCTTTTTGAGCTGCCTTTGAATCTTGAGTTTCTTGTAATTCCTTCGTCTGATATATACCTCCATTCTCATTCTTTTCCCTTTCTAACACCTGACCTTGAACTTCCCCAAAACTCCTATCACCTTTGTTAAGATTTTCACCATGACTTTTGTCTGCAACAATGTTACCTTGGTTGTTATTACAAATTTCACTTGACATTTGATGTTCATCAAGTGTTTCTGGCTGGATTTGCAATATTACAGGAATATCATCAGAATGACTTTGACCTATTAAACTTTCATTTTGACATTTGACCTCATTTTCATTGTTAATTAGATTTCCAGGCAAGTTAGCTTCCATTTCAGATCAGCTGTTTCTGCTGTTGTAGGGTGATACTTTCAATATACTATGGCGTGAAGGTTGGCATGAACCATTTACACATACTTAATCATAATTTCAATAACCTAGTAATTATCAAAGTCAAAACTGAAATACCACTTTTATCATTTTTTGCACATCAACATGACAAGTACATGGATCTCTCATCCAGTAGCTGAATAACCATTTCAATACTTTGATTCTGAAAAGAAAAAAGAAAGGGAAAATTAGTATCTCTTATAAGTTTGATTGTTACTACTGTTGTATGTTGAGCACGTACATACCCATTGTTTTGTAAATATTAATTACATAGCCTAAATAACTTGACTTGTCTTTTATCAAACAACAAAATTTTGGTTAAACTGAATATATCTCCCCTACTTCCAGTTTGATGGAAATGTAGCAAAACACAAAATCTAAAGTAAGTCAGTAAAGTTTGTAGGCTATGTAACCTACATTTGATATTATGTATCATTGTGTAACAAACCACAAGCTGAATCCACATGTACAAATGTATGCTAGATAATTGTTGGACTTTTAGAAGTGTTATGGAGCTGAATTCAATGTTTAACCAAGATGTTGTATGGATGAATGTATAGACAGATAAACAGAAAAGGTATATACTCATATGTCGTTAATGCATCCTATACAATGTTCCTATAATATCACAGATAGCTTTTTAGTGTACATCACATGCCCTGAAAGGACGTCTGAATTTAACTTATATACTCCTCAGCATAGTAAAAGTACCCTTGTATATATAGGTGGGCAGACAGGAATAATACTGGTTATGTTTATTGTTTAATAACTCTGAAACACAATGAGCTATTGATGTCTCATTGAGTGCTAAGTACCCAGTCTTGTACATGTGGCCGTTCATTTCTGAAGCATAATAGCTCAGAGAACTGACCATTTGGTTCATATCTGCCCATTTAGGTGAAATAGGAGAAAGAAAAAAGCATGGCCAGACCCAGATCCAAACCTGGGACCCTCCAAACTATAGATAGACATCTACCAATTGAGCTTTCTGGTTGCCGATGATCAACCCAGTCCAGTTCCACATAGGAACGATGTGGTTAGGAAAATGAACCAACAAATGGACCAAGATTAGAATCTTAAAGTTAACCTCCCAAATATAGATTGATGCTCTAGCCTACAGTCAGAATTATAATATCACTACATGTCCAGTTCTGTGCGCATGCATTTCTAAAAGGTAGATTCTAAAGAGTGTATGCAGTTGTTGTATGTACAACAAATGTCTTAAAACTGTTGTCTTTAGCAGCCCAATGCTACTGCAAAGCTATGTTGTCCCCAAAATATCAAGGCAACAATTTGTGCTTAAAGTGTCCATGTACGTAGTGAAACTGGACTGGGTAGATCGTCGGCGAGCATATGTCTAGAGTTCATCAGAAGGTCCCAGGTTTAAATTTCAGTCTGGCCATTGCATTTCTCTTTTTCCTGTTACATATGATATTGTCATATAGCTACATAGCAAGGGTATTGTCAGAACAGATCTAGAGTCCAATATTTTCTCCAGTACTGGTAAATCTTTTAGACTTTACCAATTCCTGTAAGCACGATGCCCCCATGAACCATTCAGGTTCAACCTGTTGTTGATCCATGTCATAACGATGCTTAGCAATTAACTCATTAACCCCTACATTTTTAAACCGGACGTGTCCATTCTTTGATACGGTAAGATTGAAATGTGACTTTAGGGTTGAATTGGTTAATCTTGCAACTGCTTGTAGTCTGCAATATCTTCTCTGTTTCATGTTTAAGCGATAAAAGATACACATACGAATAAATAAGTAAAAATATATACTAAATACCGTTTTTTTCAGTTGACGTTGATGAACACGTACTAGATTGATCAGAAACAGCACATTTGTCGAGGTACTCTGTGCGTTTAACAACTGTTGATGGAGGCCGACATGTTGTGATCACGAAGTGAATAAAGCATTGGAAAATACATACAACGCAAAATAAAATGAAATCTTCAACAGAATCATACTTGAATGGATTGAGGTTATATGTGGATATTGAATGAGGATGTATACTTTCGAAGAAGGGGGTTTGAAAAGACATTTAAACTCATTTACTGCGGAACTACAACAATGGCGGACTCCATGATCGAAAACGTGTTCTACTCATTCGTCCCATCATTTTGTGACAGTTCTGGTTCCAAACCGGCTCTAAGGCAGCTTGTTGATATTGCTGAAGACAGCAAACTCTTCACTTTACAGGTTAATTCGCGATCACTTTGTGTAGCATGACCTGATGTCTGTATAACTGTAAAATCAGCATTAGTTTTCCTGATATGCACCCCCCCCCTCACGTACATAATTTCAACGAGTAGGTAAAAACACACAGGTGCTCGGATTCTGAAATATATGTGAAACATTATTGCACGCCACTAGATATCGGTACCCCTTATCCTATTAAATCATAGGGGTGTGATATATAGTGGGGTGCAAACCCGGACACCTGTGCTAATTTCTACCGCCTCGGAGAGGGAGACATTTTTGACGCTCTTACTAGGAAAACAGAAATCCTGGGCTACACTGGCGCCTAACATGGGGCTCCAAGAAATAGAGACAGAAAAGATCAGCCTTTCCTAATCACTCTCATCTCCTGTGCTTTTTCCTGAAAGGGGTTGTATGTCGTCCTAGTGACTCCGCTATAGGGAATTGCTCTTTAGCTCATTCGGTAGAGCACTAGACTGGTAAACCATGAGGTCCTGGGTTTGATCCACAGCGGAGGGACTGGAAAAAATAATTATCTCTGCTACGATATGATTTTGCCGACTGGCGCCTGTCAAAAGTATCGCGCGATGTAAACCTCTAACACTGTTGGACTACTACAGTAATGTACAGTTATGTCAGAATTCTTATCAAAAAATGCACATTCACTGACTGAGATATGTATTAAGTATGAACTACATTTGAAAACTAAAGATGTTTTGTTTGTTTTAAATTTGTATTAAGTTGTATAAACACGAAACATTGTTGAAACAGGCAAAACATAAGGTGAAAGTTGGAGAACCCGAAAGACTTTCAAAGGAAAACCATTCATATGAATCTGTATTTCAGTATTTTTTGAAAAACAGGTAATGTGGTTTATCAAATTGTAGGCAAACGATATGTACAACATACAGATTTTTGTTTCCAAATTAAGCTTACAACATTAACCTACAATNAAAAACAAAGGTAAGGTACACTGTATACTTATCATAAAAACAAAGGTAGGGCACACTGAATACATATCATAAAAACAAAAGTAGGGTACACTGTATACTTATCATAAAAAACAAAGGTAAGGTACACTATACTTATCATAAAAAACAAAGGTAAGGTACACTGTATACTTATCATAAAAACAGAGGTAAGTTACACTGTATACTTATCATAAAAACAAAGGTAGGGCACACTGTATACTTATCATAAAAAACAAAGATAAGGTACACTGTATACTTATCATAAAAACAAAGGTAGGGTACACTATATACTTATCATACAAAACAAAGGTAAGGTACACTATACTTATCATAAAAACAAAGGTAAGGTACACTGAATACTTATCATAAAAAACAAAGGTAAGGTTCACTGTATACTTATCATAAAAAACGAAGGTAAGGTACACTGTATACTTATCATAAAAAACAAAGGTAAGGTACACTGTATACTTATCATGAAAACAAAGGTAAGGTACACTGTATACTTATCATAAAAAACAAAGGTAAGGTACACTGTATACTTATCATAAAAAACAAAGGTAAGGTTCACTGCATACTTATCATAAAAACAAAGGTAAAGTACACTGTATACTTATCATAAAAACAAAGGTAGGGTACACTGTATACTTATTATAAAAAAACAAAGGTAAGGTACACTGTATACTTATCATAAAAAACAAAGGTAAGGTACACTGTATACTTATCATAAAAACAAAGGTAAGTTACACTGTATACTTATCATAAAAACAAAGGTAGGGTAAACTGTATACTTATTATAAAAAACAAAGGCAGGGTACACTGTATACTTATCATACAAAACAAAGGTAAGGTACACTATACTTATCATAGAAAATAAAGGTAAGTTACACTGTATACTTATCATAAAAACAAAGGTAAGGTACATNACAACCTAGGGCGAACGGGATTTGGGGCGAAACAACCCGGAACCGTGCAAACCCGGACACCTGTGCTAATTTCTACCGCCTCGGAGAGGGAGACATTTTTGACGCTCTAACTAGTAAAACAGAAATCCTTGGCTACACTGGCGCCTAACATGGGGCTCCAAGAAATAGAGACAGAAAAGATCAGCCTTTCCTAATCACTGTCATCTCCTAAAAACACTCAGGATGTGCTTTTTCCTGAAAGGGGTTGTATGTCGTCCTAGTGACTCAGCTATAGGGAATTGCTCTTTAGCTCATTCGGTAGAGCACTAGACTGGTAGACCATGAGGTCCTGGGTTTGATCCCTAGCGGAGGGACTGGAAAAAATAATGATCTCTGCTACAGTAATTACTCCTATATATAACATTAGAGGCCGCTGGTCTGCCTTTTTTCTTTCGGATATGTTTTTGCCGACTGACGCCTGTCAAAAGTATCGCGCTATGTAAACCTCTAACACTGGGACTACTATAGTAATGTATAGTTATGTCAGAATTCTTATAAAAAAATGCACATTCACTGACTGAGATATGTATTAAGTATGAACTACATTTGAAAACAAAAGATGTCTGGTTTGTTTTAAGGTGAAAGTTGGAGAACCCGAAAGACTTTCAAAGGAAAACCATTCATATGAATCTGTATTTCAATATTTTTTGAAAAACAGGTAATGTGGTTTATCAAATTGTAGGCAAACGATATGTACAACATACAGATTTTTGTTTCCAAATTAAGCTTACAACATTAACCTACAATTGTTTTGGCTAGTAAATGTGACAGTGCCTGTTCTTGTTTAAAACTCAGTCTTAATTTAATTTCCACACATCAAAATATATAACCTTTACTTTCTTTTTGACAGAAACCTGGAAAACTTCAGGAAATTGTTAGCCATATCAACACTTGCCTGAACTCTGCAAAACAAAGGTAAGGTACACTGTATACTTATCATACAAAACAAAGGTAGGGTACACTGTATACTTATCATAAAAGACAAAGGTAGGGTACACTGTATACTTATCATAAAAGACAAAGGTAGGGTACACTGTATACTTATCATAAAAGACAAAGGTAGGGTACACTGTATACTTATCATCCAAAACAAAGGTAAGGTACACTGTATACTTATCATAAAAAACAAAGGTAGGGCACACTGTATACTTACCATAAAAAAAAAAATTCTTAATGTACATTCTGCAATCTAAAATAAAGGCTGCTTTTGTACTCTATACCTATAAATACAAATCCTGGTAGGCTCCCGTCATGCCCTGGAAATCATCATGGTTATTTCATTGTGTTATTGAACAACAAAGAATTGTATTGCCACCACTAAAATATAGTCTCCAACTGAGATTTTCTGTATTGATGAAGCCTTGCTCACTATATGGTAAGGTCATTGGTGACCAACTAACAACTTTATCAACATTACTCAAGTTTTAAAAAGACAAATGCTTACACTATGTCCAGTTCATGGTGTTTTCCTTTTTCTTTTAGTTTGTTCTCAGTCCTATAATATTTTCTTGTTGAATTTTCAATTTTGTTTTTGTGTGATAACACTGTATCTTTTCTATTATTATTAATTACTAAAGTTTAAATTGAAAATCTTAACTTTAAGTTCTGCATATTTCACCTCCAGAGTGGAAGGTTTGGTGTTGCTGGACAAGGTACTGGAACAATGTGTCACAGAGATATTTACACAGAATACACTCACGTGGATTCGATTCATGATACAAATTTTCCAGGTAAGCTAAGTTCCAAAGTTGCAGATTCAGAAAACTGCACACAAAGAAAGTCATTATCTTTGAGTGAAGACAGGGTTCAGTGGTTAAGCCACCGGCCTTTCACCAAGATGACCACACTTTCAATTTGCATAATGAGTACACAATTTTTGCTTTGATATTTTCTAAATTATGTATACTGTTAAGTTTTTCTATAGATTTTTACCAGTAAAGCCATATAATCTAAGGGTCCTATATACTCTTCTGTAAAGATTGCTAGAAGAGTACCAGGTAGGCTACAGCTACAGGGGAAGAAGCTTCATTAACAAGCAACTGAACATGTATAGACCTTTTTATTTTGTCTAGAAAAAATGTTTGGGTTTAAATCTGCCCGACCTGTAAAGGCAGTTGTAGGTATTGCAAAAAGAGAAGGCTACCACTACAGAGGATGCTACAATAGCTAGCAGCTGATCATGTAGTCCGAATTATTCTGATGTTTTATCGACTTTTTTTTATATCGGTCAGTCGTCGATTAATGTCAGAACTCCGGCCCTCTATAATGTGCGGGAAATAAGCGACCCTTTCGATCCATGTGTGACATGTGTGTGAAAGTGACAATTTTTTTCTAAAATATCAGTTTGAAGTGCAGGTCGCTTATTTCCCGCATATTATAGAGGGCCGGAGTTCTGACGTTAATCGACGACAGACCGATATAAAAAAAGTTGATAAAACGTCGGAATAATTCGGACTACTGATCATGTAGTGGCCTTTTTATTTGTCTGGAAAAAAATGTTTCATTCATTTTAAATGTAAAAGTTTTAAATCTGTCAGGCTTGTAAAGGCTAAAGTAGGTATTGAAGGTCTTTGACACGGTGTGCAAGAAAATAACACCAATTACTAGGTCTGTTCTCCAAAAATTGATGCACTTGTTCGTGATTAATGCAGACAGTCCTTATTTAGCAATTAAATGTATTTTTGGTTGATTTTTTTTTATCGATGTTTCCTTGTAGTCACATGATCCACCAAGCATACAACGTCTGGCATGTTATGTGTGCGGTAAAATTCTGGATGTGGTCAGTGACTTCACTTCCCTCAGCCGAGAGGTTACCTCCCTTGTACCACAGATCATTTCTGCCCTGCTGCTGGCACCAACAGAGGTAATAATTTGATGATGTTTGAAAGAAAATTTACAAAATATCATGATACAGTACTACAGTGCTTTGCATAGACTTATTTCAATATCAGTGTTATTTTTGGGCAACCAGGGCTGTTTGAATTTTAATTTTCTAAATAAAATATGAAATGAACACTTTCAGTGCAGTGTAATTTATTTAGCTTACAAAGAGTTGAATTCTATTTTCATTTTTCATCATTTTTGGATATCTTCTTGTTACTTTTTTCTGATTTGAAAATCAAGATATATTTATTAACTGTCATAGATTTTTGTGTTGATGATACCTCTTTTTGTATTACAGTGGAGAAATGAGGCATGCCTCTGTATCAACAGATGTATACTGAACTACCCAGGCCCCTGTGCCACATTCAAGGTAAGTTACCCAGGCCCCTATGTTACATTTAGGTAAGTTATCTGATTCCCCATGTTATATTGAAAAAGTAATGATAGTCTACTATTAATTTACCATGTTACCTTGTTTTGTAAAAGTAAAATTTAAAAAAAACCAGAAAATTTTAATTCCTTTGTCTCTGAAATAGATTTTAAAATTAATTGATAACAGGAAAATATTGAAGTTTCTACGATGTTAGATTACTGGAATTTTATTCAACTTTTACTCCACATTTATTTGCTTGAAGATATTATCAGGAATTCATTTATCTTGTGAATATTTCTTCCAATCTATCCGTAATATGCAGATGTCATTGTATTGATAAAAATCAATATCCTTGCACGTGTGTTCGAATAACAATGATTTTTTTTTTTTTATATATTCATGAAAATTAAATGATTCATACTTCAAAAACTGTTTTCTTTCAAGGGCAAGATTGATTCGTTTGTGGTGAAAGAGCTGTCTTGTGATATGGTACCAAAGGTAAACCTTTTTCTGCAGTTTTGCACACAGCTAAATAGAAATACCATGTTTTCTCACTTTTCACATATATTTGACAAGCTTTAATGCTCACAGCCAGACAAGCCAGTCACACTAAAATTGCACGTTGGGCTATAATTGTGATTAATGTTTCGGTTAATAGAAGAGCTCAAAAAATGAATTTTCACAGGCCCACCCACAAATAATTTCTATCATAATACACTTCATTCATTAAAGAGGAATTGAGTCACCATAGAGAAATTCACCATGGCTATCCGATTATACCCAGCAAAGACACTGAAGTGTTTTACTTTCATTTAACCCATCTGTAACCAACAGGAAATAGTGCAATGCTTCGCTCTGCTGAGTCGGTGCGGGGGAGGAGGGAACATGGGACTGAAACACACAGAAGGCTGGACTGTCCAGCTTGATCGAGTGGTCAGCAGTCTGCGTGGGGTGCTTGACCTCCTCTACGAAGGACTGGAAACAGGTAGGTGATGGTCAGCTTCAGTCTGACCAAGTAAACGGATATAAGTATTGTTGTTTGTGAAATTACCAGAACAATTCTTACTTAAAAACTTCATTGATAAATATTGTCTCCTTTTCACTAGAATCATGAATGTCTTATAAAAAGGAGAGGATGTATAGTAAATCATCTAATCTCATAAGAAGTTACAAAATAAGGTCTAAGGATGGTCAGGTGTTGCAGTAGTTAGCTCACTTGCCTTTTCCAATTTGACAGGGTTTGGATTCCGAAGTCAGAGGTGAAAAGATGAAGGTCACATGTTTGACCTATGACCTTTGACCTTTGTGACCTGATGGTCTATTACTAACTATTGATGCATTCTACCCTACAGTAACACCAAACATGAACGGGGAGGGCAGTACCAGGACCCTGCCCGTGGGGGATGTGCCCACATCCTCCCCCCAGAGGTACCACGTCCTCGTCTCCAGGTGCCACACCTACTCTAGTTGTTTGCAGGCCCTACTCAGGTAATCGTTACAGAAATTATTTATTTAGGTTCTATTTTACATTAGCAATAGCTGCAATTTCTGGAATAGAAAATTTCCACAAAAGAATTAGATTTAACTCTACAGGAAAAAACTTATGACCTATGACTTTGACATGTTTGACCAGTGAACCTGTAAATAATGACAAAACTTACCGTAATGATTTGATTTTATTGGAAACCATGAAATTGATTCCTGGAAAAAGAAAATATATTTGTGATATGTGTTGTATCATAGGGGAAATATTGCCAATACATTTGAATCTTGGTTTTACTGTTGACCCAGCTCTATTTGTGACTGATATATGTCGTTGTGTTTGTTTGCAGTGAGAGTTTCCAGGCCCTAGTGAAGGTTCCATCCCAACTCATCCTCAACCTCATCTGTCGCATTCTCTCTGTTAACTGTAAAACATTGGTACGTTACTTGGTGTTTGCCAGATCATTGTTCAATTATCCATATTCATCACTGAAATGTCTCAGTACTTGCTAAGTTAGAATGTAATGCAAATGTCAGATGTATACTAAAATCAGTTTCTGGCTTTGTCATTTCATTAGAATAATGGGCATTGCTTTTTAAGTCAAACCTATCCAGCCATTTTTAGTTAGTTTTACTGTGATGCTTGTAAAAATGTTAATCCCGTGTTGACAGTCAAGGTCGAAATATCATTTAAGTCATCTTATGCTTCCTTATCAGTACCTTTGAGAGTATCATAGTCTTGACAGAGTTATCTATTGGTCAAAAAAGCAAAAGCACACACTGTAGGGGGCCTCTCAAGGGCAATTTCAAGGTGGTACCACACCAAAATATCACAGCTGGACAAGGTGGTATCACACCAAAATATCACCACTAGACAAGGTGGTATAACAACAAAATATCACATCTGGACAAGGTGGTATCACACCAAAATATCACAACTGGACAAGGTGGTATCACACCAACATATCACAGCTTGACAAGGTGGTATCATACCAAAATATCACAGCTTGACAAGGTGGTATCACACCAAAATATCACAGCTGGACAAAGTGGTATCACACCAAAATATCACAACTGGACAAGGTGGTCTCACACCAAAATATCACAGCTGGACAAGGTGGGATCACACCAAAATATCACCACTAGACAAGGTGGTATCATACCAAAATATCACCGCTAGACAAGGTGGTATCACACCAAAATATCACCGCTAGACAAGGTGGTATCATACCAAAATATCACAACTGGACAAGGTGGTATCACACCAAAAGATCACAGCTGGACAAGGTGGTATCACACCAAATTATCACAGCTGGACAAGGTGGTATCACACCAAAATCTCACAGCTTGACAAGGTGGTATCATACCAAAATATCACCGCTAGACAAGGTGGTATCATACCAAAATATCACAGCTTTACAAGGTGGTATCACACCAAAATATCACAGCTAGACAAGGTGGTATCACACCAAAATATCACTGCTGGACAAGGTGGTATCACACCAAAATAACACAGCTGGACAAGGCGGTATCACACCAAAATATCACAGCTGGACGAGGTGGTATCACACCAAAATATCACAGCTAGACAAGGTGGTATCACACCAAAATATCAATGCTGGACAAGGTGGTATCATACCAAAATATCACAGCCTGACAAGGTGGTATCACACCAAAATATCACCGCTAGACAAGGTGGTATCACACCAAAATATCACGGCTGGACAAGGTGGTATCACACCAAAATAACACAGCTGGACAAGGCGGTATCACACCAAAATATCACAGCTGGACAAGGTTGTATCACACCAAAATATCACAGCTGGACGAGGTGGTATCACACCAAAATATCACAGCTGTACAAGGTGGTATCACACCAACATATCACAGCTTTACAAGGTGGTATCATACCAAAATATCACAGCTTGACAAGGTGGTATCACACCAAAATATCACTGCTGGACAAGGTGGTATCACACCAAAGTATCACCACTAGACAAGGTGGTATAACAACAAAATATCACATCTGGACAAGGTGGTATCATACCAAAATATCACCGCTAGACAAGGTGGTATCCCACCAAAATACCACAGCTGGACAAGCTAGCATGACATCTCACTCAGTCCCATTGATAAATGGCCAACTTGAGATGCTGGGAATACACCATCAAAAAGTCCATAAATACAATGGGAAAGATGAAGGGCCCAAGTGTTGCTGTTGGGATAGTAGAAATATATATGGCACTTTGAGAATTCTTTAAATGTACCTACATGATTTAGTGGTATTCCTATTTTAGCACTTTCCACATTTTACTTATTGTGCTAAATTATGATAGTCCTAACTAAAGTTTATATATATTGTATATTATGTGGGTGCACTAAATTTGTCAATGCACTAATCTGTTTAAATTCAGTTATGCACTAAAATATGCACTTTTACTGCAAGTACTTCTTAAAACCTTTAGAGTTGTGTATTTATGTGTTTATAATACATGGTTTCTATCTTCAGACTGCTAGACCTTCTACACAGCGACTTTTGTTAGCCGGATTTATACCATCTTTGCACAAATTGGCCATCTCTCTCCTCCACAGCCTCATTAAATGGTAAGTACTTACTCTCACCACAACTAAGGAATGATATACTGAAATAAGCTTTTCTCGCACCTCAGACAGAGATATCCCATGTTATACCCCATGCTAGATTTTTCTATCTCGTCCGATCTGTCTTGTACCTTTACGTGACATTTTGCGGAATTTTTACACTGTGATGTATTCATCCGCGCGTTAACTGCTTGAAATTGACAGTTTGCATTATAAATGTTCTGTTTTGTCGTTAAATGTATAGTTTTGATATTAGATATTTAATGTTGTAGATAAAATATAATCTACACTGTGAAATACGTTGTAATCTATGTAAGGACGGACTGCATTTTTACGTGGAAGCATTCAAATGTAGCTTTAGTAGTGAAGAGGTCATTATCATTTGAGGCCAAAGGTTGGATACTTGTAGTTTTTAGCAAAATTCAAGTTTTTTTCTAACAAAAGGTGCGAGAAAAAAAATCAATTACCTGTAACTGAGCGAGATCGGGTTATCTCAGTCTCGGGCTAAGATTCTGTAACATCCCAACCTCGGTTGGGATTTTGTTACAGAATCTAACCCTCGACTGAGATAACCTGATCTCGCTCAGTTACTGGTAACAGATTTTATTAGTCTGTCCATTTGCTGCCTGGCTATGTATTTTGACAAAAAGAGAACCAATGTATTTGAAGCTCTTGGTATTAATGCTACAAGTGATGATGCTGTTACATGTATTGTAGTTATAACGTCGCTGTAATAACCCTGACACCAGAAATACAATTTATTTCTAAACAAGAACAACTGTTATTTTACATAAACATGTATCAGGCAAGTTAAGGTTAAGTTCTGTAAAAGCAAGTTCAGTCCCAAGTAATAGCAGAACATTTGTATTATTAGGCTATTTTCAAAAATCAGGAACAAATTCTGTTAGTCTGTTAATAATTCTTAATCATGGGGGTACTTACATGTGAAAATTCTATTGAAGGAGCGGCAAGGGAGCATTAGTTAGCCTTATATAACCAAAAACATTTTTTAAGCTTAGAGGTATTTGGAACTGAAAATTAGTTATAGGGTTATTGATGAACATATTTCTTTTACTCAAACGTGTAATATTTTTATTTTTGTTGAGTAAAAATATGCTTTTACTGATGTGGAAATCATCCTACATTTGGTTAAGAATGTTAATTTAAAATTGCCCATCATGCTGGGAAACAGATTAAAGAATATACACAGAAGTATCTAAGATGCTAAACTTCATAGGGAGAAAATTCATTAAAGACTTTCCTTGTGTATTAATTCTTTCTGTAGTGTTATAAATGATATCTTCATGTGGCCTGTAACATGATGTACCAGTGTGTCTGTTAAAGGAATATAAACTGGATATGTTTTATTTAAGCTGTAAACAACACCTGCTGCCTCATACCAAACTGGTGTTGACCCTCCTTGTACAGGAACTGGTGTGGAGCCACACAACACCTAACTACGGACAGGCTCGGCCCTACAGGTAAGGCATCACACTTAACTACTGACATGCTCGGTCATACAGGTAACACTACACCTAACTACGGACAGGCTCGGCCGTACAGGTAAGGCATCACACCTAACTACAGGCAAGCTCGGCCGTACAGGTAACGCATCACACTTAACTACAGACAGGCTCGGTCATACAGGTAACGCAACACCTAACTACAGACAGGCTCGGCCGTACAGGTAATGCATCACACCCAACTACAGACAGGCTCGGCCGTACAGGTAACACATTACACCTAACTACAGACAGGCTCGGCCGTACAGGTAACGCATCACACTTAACTACTGACAGGCTCTGTCATACAGGTAACACATCACACTTAACTACAGACATGCTCGGCCGTACAGGTAACGCATCACACCTAACTACAGACAGGCTCGGCCGTACAGGTAACGCATCACACTTAACTACAGACATGCTCGACCGTACAGGTAACGCATCACAATTAACTACAGACAGGCTCGGCCGTACAGGTAACACTACACCTAACTACGGACAGGCTCGACAGTACAGGTAACGCATCACAATTAACTACAGACAGGCTCGGCCGTACAGGGAACACTACACCTAACTACGGACAGGCTCGACAGTACAGGTAACGCATCACAATCAACTACAGACAGGCTCGGCCGTACAGGTAACGCATCACACTTAACTACAGACAGGCTCGGTCATACAGGTAACGCATCACACCTAACTACGGACAGGCTTGGCCGTACAGGTAACACATCACACTTAACTACAGACATGCTCGGCCGTACAGGTAACACTACACCTAACTACGGACAGGCACGACAGTACAGGTAACACTACACCTAACTACAGACAGGCTCGGCCGTACAGGTAACGCATCACACCTAACTACGGACATGCTCGGCCGTACAGGTAACACTACACCTAACTACGGACAGGCTCGGTCATACAGGTAACGCATCACACCTAACTACGGACATGCTCGGCCGGACAGGTAACACTACACCTAACTACGGACAGGCACGACAGTACAGGTAACACTACACCTAACTACAGACAGGCTCGGTCATACAGGTAACGCATCACACCTAACTACGGACATGCTCGGTCCTACAGGTAACGCATCACACTTAACTACAGACAGGCTCGACCGTACAGGTAACGCATCACACTTAACTACAGACAGGCTCGGCCATATAGGTAACACTACACCCAACTACGGACAGGCTTGGCCGTACAAGTAACACATAACACTTAACTACAGACAGGCTTGGCCGTACAGGTAACTCATCACACCTAACTACAGACATGCTCGGTCATACAGGTAACACTACACCTAACTACGGACAGGCTCGGTCATACAGGGAAAAGGCATCACACTTAACTACAGACATGCTCGGTCATACAGGTAACACTACACCTAACTACAGACAGGCTCGGCCATACAGGTAACACATCACACTTAACTACGGACAGGCTCGGCCCTACAGGTAACGCATCATACTTAACTACAGACAGACTCAGCCCTACAGGTAACACATTACACCTAACTATGGACAGGTTCGGCCCTACAGGTAACATATCACACCTAACTATGAACAGACTCGGCCCTACAGGTAACACACTACACCTAATTACAAACTAGACTTACTCTACAGGTAACATACCACACTACAGGCCTGCCCCTATACTTCAGGAAAAATAATGTTAATCTCTTTATTTTTGCAAGAAATTAGTTTCTAGGATAATTCTCTGAGTAGAGTTTTCTGCAAATTTGAGTGGGAATTGACAATCAACATTGAAACGTCTTCCTCTCAATAGCTAATTCAGATATTCCTAAATAAAACCTGCAAGCATAGTTTACAAAAACAGTACTCCAAAATTTCAGGCTAGTTAGGGTAAACCAATGGAAGTATGCAGTCATGTTGTTTCCCAAAAAACAATGTTCGGTGGTTATTTCAAAGTGCCCTGTTTATCGTTACTTTACGTTGTGGTCCAAATGACATTGACACTGACATAGTATAACGTTCACAATTTTAAGTAGGTTCTTATTATTTTATATTCAGAAACTTTTGCTGAACAAACTTTCTAATATTTAGTCCACTGGTATGTTTACTTTGTTAACACTATTACCTGTATTTTTGTTTGTGATTTCACTACAACCACAAAAATCATGACAATAAACAGTGAATGTTGTTTACACTCTATAAACACTGCAATAAGCAGAAAAGTCCTGTTGATAATTACAATTGTTTCACTGAATTGTTTACGATGACAGTGAGCTGAGGAGGAGTGTGTATGGCTGTCTCTCGCTGTGGTTCCAAGTATCCTACACCTTCGTGGAGACATCCACAGAAGACTCGGCCTTGTGTGAGGAGATTCTACTTGATGCTGGAATGCAACTTGACACACTCAAGGTAATGTATCTACACAACTCCATAGGAGCATAGATATATTTCAACTGAATAGTTTTAATATCATTAGTATCTCCCAATATTTGTACAACGATTCCTCTTGTGAGTCCTAGGCCTTCATTTATCGCGATCCAAACGTTTGGACCGGCTGGAGCAGAGTTGTTCGTTTATGAAATAAGGTCGGACCGAGTAATCTACTGGCGCTTTCAGGTGAGCCTTGACAAGGCCTTTCACGGCCTGCATAAACATTTGCAGGTCCGCCAGGATTTATACCCGAAAATGTTACATTTAAAAGCGGACAAACAGGTTGTTCCGCATAAATGAACAGGTCCAAGGTTTTGCTGTTTGACTTTAGTACAAAGTCAAGGTCAAATGTCAAGTTCACAGATGTCAACTTCCAATTTCTTGACAATAATGGTTTAGTCAACAAGATGAATTGAGAATAATGGCAAATGCTCCCATAACTAATGTATAAACCTAGCATGACATGCATCTTGTCGGGACTGACATCAAGTGCCTCAAAGGTGGTAAGGATAAGGTTTTCTTAATTTTAAACACATAATAACATTATGAAGCATTAGCACTATATTTGCTCCTTGATGTAAGCTCATATGTTTAATTGAATATCTTCTTCATGGAAAACCTATTCTATTTTTCTGGCATTATTCTGGGGATTTAAACCAGATTTAAAAAAAATACTCTTTATAGTTCCATTTATGAATCAATATCACTGGTAGAACAATTACACAGAGAGGTGGTCATGATTATGATGAATTTTATGATATTTTGATTGTTAACATGTCAGTGTTGTGTTATCAGCTTTCCAGCAGTAAAGGAGATGGTTCCAGTAAGTCAGACTCCCAGCCGCCGCCGCCTCGTAAGAAGAAGAAGACTGGCTACCAGGAAATATCACAGGGTATCAGTTCCCAGAGGAAGATTGACAGGTCGGCAGGGGCAGAGCTTGTAACATCAGCATTGGAGGGTCAGTGTCTCCCATACCTACTATCATATTTATCCAGTCATTACGATTTAATTGTGTTTTTCTAGATAGGTCTATTACTGTGAAATGGTAGATTTAAATTATAACAATATGATAATTTGAGGTTCTTATATTCCGCTTTATCACAACCTAATTCGTAGGTCGTCTCAAAGCGGTTCACAAATTATTATCCATGGTTATAAGGCCTTTGCAACCAGCCAATACCTTTCTCAACTCCCTGGGGAGCATACAGCCTGAGCCGCCATTTCAGCGCTAACAGCTAGCATTCAACAATTCTAGCACTGCCCAACCACATACTCATTAACAGCTGAGTAGATTGGAACAAGCGGAGTAAAGTATCTTGCTATAAGATACAACACAGTGCCGTGCCGTGCCGTGCCGTGCCGTGCCGTGCCGTGACTAGGAACAAGCAACCGTTCGGTCACGAGCCTGGCGTCCTACCACTAGACTAAATTATGTTTCTCTAGATAGGTCTATTACTGTAAAATGGTAAATTTACCATTCTCCTATACATTAACAGACTATATGTCGAAAATTTTGATGTTGCTGAAAGTTATTTATCATGATGCTCCATTATACGTTTTTGCCGCGAGGTCCTATAAACACTACCATATAAAAATATGTTTATAGGGCTGTGCCCAATGGGATCAGAGTCATGTTGATGTTAAATGAGACCATGGCAAAAAGCAAACATTAAGATGATGATGTCTGCTATTCAACAAATATCTTTTTCACAGATGATACACACTAAGATTGCAGTTCTGCAATAGTGGAGAGTTCTTTCTTAATCTTTGTCAGAAAGGAACTGAATTTGTGGGGCCAATACTTTTCTTTTGTCGAGATCTGATTAATTTGGACCCCTGAAATTCCACTAAACAGATAATACTTGTGTACATAAATACTTATATCAGACTCTACCGTGTTTACTTACAGCCTTGTACTGGTGGCTCACAGCAGTTGGATCTCAGGTGACACACAAAATATTACAGGTAAGATCTCAGGTGACACACGAAATATTACAGGTAAAATCTACTGTGACAAACAAAATATTACAGGTAAGATCTCAGGTGACACACAAAATATTACAGGTAAGATCTAATGTGACAAACAAAATATTACAGGTAAGATCTCAGGTAACACACAAATATTACAGGTAAGATCTCAGGTGACACACAAAATATTACAGGTAAGATCTCTAGCGTCACAAAAAATATTACATGTAAGATCTAATGTGACAAACAACATATTACAGGTAAGATCTCAGGTGACACATAAAATATTACAGGTAAGATCTCAGGAGACAAACAAAATATTACTGGTAAGATCTCTAGCGTCACAAAAAATATTACAGGTGAAAACAATATTTCACAATTTTGAGTTGTTTTATTATCCATATGTATTAGTATGTATTGTTTTGCAGAGTATACAGGAGTTTGCCATTTCGACATGCCTAGCAATGTTCCAACAGAGGAAGAACACAGAGATTCCATACAGGGATCCATGTTGTAGATACCAGTTACTGAGAGTACTGCTGGCCTGCTGTCTGGTACCCCACCCCTTGGCACCCTCACCTCTCCACTGCTCCCTAGGGATCTTCAGGATCGGGCTTAATGACCAAGCCTGTATGGTAAGAATAAGTACCATAATAAACCTTAAACTTGTGTACTAAGTGTGTGTGTTTTAAACATGCATGGAAATTCCATATAGATAGAGTTACTGATGTACTATATGAGTGACGGACGTTTGTAACAAAACAGTAATTAAATAGCAGCTTTTTAAACATTGTCCTCTGCTAGCCATAGTCAGTCTTGCCCTTTTGCTCTCAGGGGATTCACACCCTTCATTTTAAAATACACTCCTAATGTATCAGTAATTTGCATGAATTCCAGTCATCTTGGATTTTGGCAAGACAAGTTTGATCGAAATCTACATATTTAGGGAACCTATCGTTCAAGATTAATCAGCAACTCCGATCTATAACCTAATAATTGATATACACATATTTTGTTTATCTTCAAATCTAGTATTGCTATTATGCAAGGTCATCCTATATTTGATGAAAAACTGCAAATTACAGCAAGCATGGAGTCGTTGCTGAAAACCAAACTAAACATCAAACCTAGATTTGTGAAGGAAGACCCACACTGCATCATAAGTACCTGTACATCTTGTAATAGTCGGGTTTTTGTTTTCGGTTTTAGGTGAGCAACTTTTGTTTGGAGGCCCAGAGGACTCTGGAGGTGCTAATTCATCCTCGTGCACCCTGTCTAAAAGCCCCAGTGGTGGTCACCCAGGCACTAGTGGTTGGAGACAGGAAAGAGGCTCAGACCAGTGAGACCTCTGACACAGATAAGAATGTTAACGGTCATCACAACACACAAAATTCTCCAGATACATCACATTCAATGTGGCAACAGACTGTTCCTCAAAACATGTCATCTCGTAAAAGATCTTTAATATTAAGTCATAAAGATTTAGCTACGGGAGACTCTGTTAGTAGCAGTATATTTTCCAGGACAGGAAGTGCTGATATATCTGCAGATGTTCAAAAAGAAAGTTTTTCTTTTAGTAAAAAATCCAAAACTGTTGTATCAATGCCTACAATGATCAGTAGTCATAGTGATGAAATGGAGGCATCAACTTCAGGCCATGTACAAGCTATTCAACAAGTGATGGTTGGAGAGAAGGACAAGTCTTCAAAAAGTGATTCAGACAATGCAATGGAGATTGGTGTTGACACCAGTACATCTGTGGTTGAGAATTACTCTGAGACAGAGGTCACAGAGTACACTAGCGTAACCAAGGAGACGGGGGATAACGATGTCACTGCAGTCACAGAACAGAATTCAGTTTCCTGTGACACTGGAGTTGTTGAGGATAATGAGGGTTACAGTAATAGGAAACAGCTGAGAAGGAAGTCTGTGAAAGCCAAAGATTCCAAGGTCAGAGAAGTCAAGAAAGTCTTGGACAAAGAAAATTCTGAGAAACAGGTGTGTATCTACTATCTCGTTAGATCAATTAGTCAACATTGAAAACACTGATAATTCCCTAAGCCCGAAAATGTCAACCTTTTAACATAATGATATGCATTTTTGTGTGTGCAGGATTTAACCCTATCACCACTGTAGACCATAGGGGTGAAAGGGTTAATTAAGATTTTTGTTCTCATGCACCAGTAAATGTTTACAGGCTAAAAACTACAAGTTTTAAGATGTCAATTATTATATTTTGAAGCAGCCATGACTACTAACATTTCAGTTTAGGTCTGTTATGATGTTTAACTTCAATCTTCAATATACAAGGAGGAGGGAGAGGAGGAGCAGGAGGAGCAGGAGGATAGCGAGCTAGTGTCAATGTTGTCATCCTTTGTGAATACAGTGACAGACAGTGGTGATGATGAGGATCTATAGCCTGTTACAGCTGTATCACCATGACAACTGAACTGTAATAGTTTTACATGACACTTAATGTTTGCTTTTTCGCTTTTAAAAACACCAACTCTTTAGTTGAATATGCTATAATAAAACAGAGGTGAAAATTGCCATTTGACAGGTATTGATAACATGTTAAGTTTGTTGTAAGTGAACTGTAACAATTTACATATGCAGATGTTGCATCATAACTACTAGAAAATCACGTCTTGTACAATTGACCATCAGAACAGAAACAATAAATGTACAATGCATATATGAATAAATATATTGTATTAGGAAAGAATGTAACATTTTTTTTAATGATCTTTTACTTACCAATTTTTGTTGAGATTCAAGACCATAAATTTGTGTTTGCTCCAACAACTATTATACCTACAATCATTATCACACATTCTATGACCGAGAAACAAGTAAATTCTCTTGTAATGTTTCTATGAACATAGTAGGGTTTTTTTCCCCTGTAGCTTGGGATATAAGGCTATCAAGTTTGTGAGAACAGGTAGCAGCGATTCATCTGCTGGATAACTGAACTACCCGGTAGTGATGCGGATGTAAAACCTATCAATCAATCAATAAAGAGAACAAGTTGCATAGCTTATATGCCCAATATGAAGATCACACAAGTTAATCAAATTTTCAAGCAGAGATCCAATCTTGGGTATATCCCTTTAGCCTGTAAATATTTAATACTAAATTAGATTGAGATCCCTTCATTTGTACTTAAGGAACATCTTTTTAGCCATGATGGTGGGCTATATATATATTCACTTCACCCTTCGTCCGTCCATCTGTCGTATGTCCTCAAACAATTCTTATTGTTGCTATTTCTTAGAAAGTACAGGAGGCATCTTTCTCAAATTTGATATGAAGATTCCAGTTGGTCTGTTAGTGTGCATGTTTACTTTTGAGACAGATTGGATGGATAAAATGGCTGACACACATTATTGGCAGATTGGTCGAGTGGTTAACACTTCGGCCTACCACGCAGACGGCCGGGGTTCGATCCTCGAAGTCGTCACACGCATGGAATATCAGAGAAAGTGTTTTTCTCCTGCCCACACAACTCCAACAACCCAGGTGGAGTATAAAATGGTCTGGGGTGGATGTTGCGATATCTGTGCTGTAGCATTCAAGTGAGGTGGCACTTTTAAAGATGCCATTGGAAGCACAGTTCCACTACAAACAGAACACAATACATCTCCAGCACACACACAGGCATACACACATAGGGGGATATTAGCCAGGTGGCATAGGACTAGTAGTTTGCGCCTGATAAGGCAGCTCCTGCTAATTCCTCAAAAATTGAATTAATGTATATGCTAATTGTATTAATTGAATATCTATGTACTGTAAAGCGCTTTAGAGTGGCTTATGTTAGCTAGATAGGGCACTATATCAAATGTTGTATATTGTTATTTATTATTTACTGTCAAAATCCAAGATGGTCGCCGGTCAGCAATTTCGTTTATACAATCAGTCTTAAAAGTTAACATGCACAACGAGTGAGAACAACAGACCAAACATTCAGAAGTTATCGCTACTTATCAGGAAGTTCTGGAAGAATCTTTCTTATATTTGTTATCTAGGTTCCCCTTGGTCTGTTATTGTGCACGTTTACTTTAAGACTGATCGAATAAACGAAATGGCTGATAGAAGGCCATCTTGGATTTTGACCGTGAATGATTGAAGTTCTAGAGGGATTTCTCTCAAATTTGATATGAAGGTTCCCCTTGGTCTGTAGTTGTACAGGTTTACTTTGGAGAGTGATGATAAAATCAAGATGGCCACAGGAAGTACTAATGAGATCTTTCTGATATTGTAATTATTGGATCTTTTTCTCTATTTAACACTTAAAGAACTGTACTAGTAAATAGATGAAACGGTACCTTTACTGTTTACATGACTTGATCAAACAGATAAGACTTAAGAGAAAAGAAGAGGAAAGATCAAACTGATATAAACCAATGAAGATGGTACAATGGTGGGCGCCAAGATCCCTCTGGGATATCTTGTTTAAAGATATTTCTCCTTTTCTGCCTCACCCCTATCTACACCCCCAGAGGAACAACACTATTCATTTATACACACACCAAATTCCATGCACCAAGTCCAAATGTCTGGAGTCATTTTTGACTAGTAATCTTCAAGAGATATGATAGTGGACACCACTCACTTGCCCCTTCAATTAAAGCCAGGTGCGCAAAAAACAATATAAAACTTTGAAAATGTTACCTTTTTATTTTAATTATAAATAACGACAACTGTGATGATAGTTCTGTCCATACTTTGTAAATATTTTGACTAGTAAAGTCGTCATATAAAGTAAACAATAGCGACACATCCGGTGGGTCCTCCATTGTTAAATGTAATGGAAAACTGGTAACAATGTCAAACTCCAAATGATGCTTTGCCTCTTGAATGAGAGATCCAGGTAATATCACATACATATGGTGTTTCACTGTTTTGGGTTTGTAACTGTTTAGACTTGACCAGTCCTGACCCTGTAAATCAACTATTTGATTGTTCACATTTTTATCCAAAAATAAATATCTTGGAGGCATATATGTATGGTAAAAAACAAACTTATCTTTATGAGTAAAACATTGAGTAGAGGATTCTTTGGTTCTGCATTTGGAATGAAGATTATGTTGAAAATATTGAATACATGAAGTCAAACGTCCCTGATGTAAAAATCCAAACAATAACGTCAACAACAAATTAAACACAAACCAAGAACAAAGAAATGATTTGTGGTTCACAGAATTAACAATTTTCACTGTGACCAATGTCATGATTGGTAACAATGGAATAAGAAACCGTGGCTCCTGATGAGGGAAGTACGACAGAAGAATCAACGGTACACAGTTACTGAATATTAAAGCAAGGTTGTGGCTCTTCCACGTCCTTTTGTAGATGTCAGATAAAAACTTAACAATATAATAATACATCACAATGCACATTGGTCCAAACAGTAATGGTAGATTGACAAGCAAATGAACATACCACGGATGTATGCCATGTTGAGCCAAGTTATCACGCTTTGAGTTGTAAGAAATAAAGTTCCATGGGGTAACAACGACATATTTTGTTATCGTGTCTTTCAAACACATGATATAATCTCTCTGGGATGACTGACATTTTTCAAAATCACTTTTAACAGTTGATAATATTTCAGGATTAAAGTACACAGAATCTACAAACACAAAAATTACAAACGATAACAAGAAACCAAGACCAGAAAATATCACAATTGTCATGATGGAATTGAATTTGTTTGTCTTGGTATAATAAGATAAAATCCAGAAAAAGATTGGCATGCTAGAAAATATTAGAAAAGTCGGGCGGTTAAACATACCTGCAACAACTATCATCCCAACAAGAAAAGCTGACAAAGGGAGAAAATTACTAGTAATACATTCATATGATCTGTACCTAGGAATTTCAGCTATAAAGGTACTTTTGATTTTCTTTTTCGGTTTGAATTTCTTCTTTGATTTTCTTTCTTTGACATCTGTACTCAGCACTTTGAAGTTCAGAATTGTTGAACTTCTGGTTGATTTCCATTCTCTTATCAACACTGCAAGCAGCAGCGCAAAAAACATGGTCTCAAAACTGTTTGTAAATGTCCTGGTCAGGTAAGTTAACGTTACATAACTGGATGACACTAAAATTAGACCCATCCACTCATTCAAATTTAGACATCGGCACATGTAATACACAGAAAGGTCCAAAACCAGAGTTAGAATGACCATGACTAAGCGTGGAAGTACGAGAATGAAGTAAGATGTCTCGAGTCTGGGGAAATGAATTGTCAAGAAATTAAAGAGGAGTAGTGGTGGTCCCAGAATCATGAACGGCAGAGTTACGCTACGAATCGGAGATGTGGTGTTGAACTCCCATGGTGTGTAGGTATCCAAGCCCAGGATATCGCCTGAAAAAGGAAATGATGCTGAATTACATGTAAGTTGGTAGACCTAAAATATAGATACAATTACAAAAGCATTATTATTACCCATTTTAAACAAACTGAGGCAGAGTTTATTAATATTACAGAATTATAGCGCATATTTAACGAATTAATCTGACACACGTTATCCAGGAAATAAAGTCGTTGACATCTCTAATAGCAGGTGGATGAAATTGAGGGTTTGACATGCTATATTCTATCTACTGGTTAACTTCCCCATCCTAACTGGTATCTTTTACTTACATACCAAATTTGGCAACCAGGAGACGTTCATATATATGAGATATGCCCTGAAAAGTATAATGTTCTGAAAAAATTGGCCAAACTCTGTATAAAGCGGCGCACGAGACCAAATTTGAGTATGAAACAATATGCCATCCCGAAAGGCACTGTGACTCGCAACATTTGCAAATTGTGGGTAACAATGTGCCATATTTTTACCGAAAGAGATTGGTGGTAAATGCTGTGAAGGTGTCTCCAAAATATTTATAACTGGAATGATTATTCAGTTATTGTAACATTACAGATTTCATAATTCCCAGAAATTATACGCTTAGTTTGTTGGAGATCAATGCAATCTTTCAGGATGATATAAACCTGTGCTGTTGTCAAATTTTACATCCTGTAAAGCTAGCTTTTCATGTGTAGGCACCCTTTCGGATTATGGCCAAAATTTTGATCTTGAACCAAAAATTATTTTTTTTTACAAATGTGAAGCTCACATAGCCAACTTCATCATTATTATACCAATTTTAGTACAGTTTTATTTTTATATTTTTTTACGTATCATTATACAGGGGTGAGCCATTTAACAAAAATATCACCCATGGCCACAACCCTCTACTGTAGACTGCTATATAGCTACCTATGTACATTATTGTACTTGATCAAGTTTACCTGCCACAACCTCTACTGTCTGGAAGAATTCATCAGGATGGATGTAGGCAGTCTGTGGCAGTAGCACCAACACCACTCGCACCAACCACAGCACAGCATAGCACTTCCTCATCTTGTAGTTTTCCTATCGTAACAAAATAGCATTGTGTAACAACACTAATAAAAACAGCATAAAACTTGACACTTGATACTTATTAAATTTTGAGATCAATCAGCATTTTTTTAAATAAATTTGCAGGGTCAAAGCTTCAAAACATGTGTCGAATAGATCTTCCTTGTATTGCTAACCAAGGAGTCCTCTCATTTATTTTGAGGATCAAAAGTCACTCTCTTAATAAGTCAAAGTGTGGGAAGCCCTGCTGATGCTAAAAATGTGCCATTTCATCTCTGATATATTGAAAGTTATGTATGTTTTCTGATTTCTGAAGTGAGGAAACCAGAAACACTTCTATTAATACCAAACATTTCAATGGTATTGTGGAAAAACCTCATACGATACATATTTATGTAATTTCATTGCATATTCAACACTACCATTTATGTTTCTACCAACTGTCAAGACCATTTTTCAATCTAAAACAGCACATATTAAATATTGGAATGTCAATATCAAAAACTGGCACAACAAGTTACAAGCCATAAATGAAATGTAGTACAGAGCTAATCCAAATAATATATGCAGAGCACTTTCCAATTTTGTTTTTACACCTGTAGAGTGGTCTTTTAGCTTTGAGTTGACCAAATATTTAAACTTTGTTTGGTGATGAAATGGTGAAAATTATTATTCAAATATAGCCATGCATGTATGTTCTCTGAATCTTATTTTTGTAGTATATTTCAGGTAATTTTCCTTTTATATTTAATACTATATTACCACACTGACATTGTGTAAATATATATATATATATAACTTCAGAAGCATTATAAATGAAGCTCATCATGATGATGAAAGGCTGATAATGTAAAAACTATATAAAAGTTTCAGTAAAATAAAATTGTTTTAATATTGTACACCAAAATCATATTTATGTACATACTTAGAAATAACACTAATTATAGTAATAGTAATATGCAGAATATGATGATGTGCCAAATATTCTGACAATGGCTGTACACCAAAACCACTTGCACAAACATAACTTTACATCTATAAATACAATAGGTTTGCATATTGGACTCCATAGTCTTAGACCCATGTCCAAATCAATGCAGGCCCATGTGGCCTTTTGGTGGAGAAAAATCCTACGTTTACAGTAAAATAAGTTATACATCACTCAATGACGCAATGTTCATAATCGGACTGAAAATAAACTTTCTTTAAAATTATACAAAAGATGTGACCATTTATAATAAACTTTTCCATTACTGTACTGTAACGTACTGCAGCTACAGTAGCGAATCATTAGGAGTGGGTTCACAACAGACCAAAGGATCGTCTGCTAGTGACGTCATTGAATCGAAGCTGGTGAGTCACACCTGCAAAACCATTGCAAGATTTTTTAACTTTTTTTCCAATCGTACAGCTGAAGATTAGGATTCTCCAGATCAATTGACTCCCATTACATTTATCGATATTACAATTTACATTAAATATGATATCGAGCCGGTCAAAATCTTCCAAAATTACAAGTGACACTCAACATCATCTTATTTTCTCACTGAAGATGGAGCAGAGCTTCAATCCCTTTGTCTGGATCTTGCTTCAATTTCTTCCTTAAATCTGTATATAATAAAATAGGAAGCACTTCGCTGTAAAATACTCACATTTCTTTATGCATCAGATGATTATGCTTCGCCGTCTCACCATTTTTAGTTTTTACATTTTAACATAGAAAGTTCACGTACTTGACATTTCCGAAAACACTCAGAAATTGACTGCTTCACCTACGACTGGGTTTTCAGGGTATTAAGCAATAGGTGGCGCTTTAGCATCCGGTTTTCATCAGCGTGAAAATTTGGTTGGAGTTTGACAAGGAAAGCGATTGTCAATGGCGACACAAAAATTGTTTTCTCCGACTGGAGCTGCCGCTATAAGTGCGTACAGAGATCAACATTTCAAGGTAAGTGTTGTGACATTTCCTTCACCGCGTAAACACTTATCCCAGTATGTTTACGAAATCACCAGTTGTGTAAATTCCGCGTAACCAGTTTTGACGCATCAAAGGTTCAAGATACAAGAATTTTTATTTAGAGTCGTATATGTTGCAATTGGTTCACTAACTCTGTAGAGCTATTATTACGACAAACAAAGGTATAAAAACAGGATATATAACACAACATGAGAAAACAACAGGGATATAGCAAGGTTAGTCCGTGCACACGGTGTCAGGTCGGTAACAAGACGGAAGTCGTTTTGGGACTTTTTTTCCGGGTCGTTTCGGGATATCTCGATTATTTTCTACTGTTTGTTTAGCAAACGTGTTTATGTTTGTTTTGTTTACTTTTTAATTGAGTATTCGATTATGTTCTACTATGTGTTTGTTTAACACACACTTGTTTATGTCTGGTTGTTTAGCACAAGTGTTTACGTTTGTTTTGTTTACTTTTTAATTGAGTAGTTTTCAAAATTTCAGCAAAACAAACAGTAAGGAGCTCTTTGATTTCATAATTTTAACTTAGGTTTACAAAAAAAAACGTTTGGAGATGCTCCGAGGAGATAACTGTTTTCACAATAAAGGAACAAGCATACAAATCTCTATTGTGCCTCACTTTTAATTTTAACAAGGAAATACAGCAAAGCTGCTGGATACCAAACCTTTTTATAAAAATGACTGACAGTTCATCAACCACAAGGGAACAGATCTTGCTTACTTGAATCTATTTAATTATAATTACATAAATTGTAAATGGCTTTAATTCTGTTGTTCAGAAATTTTCGTTCACGCTCAATATCTCCAGTTTTAACTGCACGTTTAGGCCAAATGTAAACAATTTGGAAATAACGTCATCTTCTGAGAGAGAGAAGCAGGGACTTTACATAAAATATCATTATACCTTTTGTCGTATTCAACGGAAAAACCATAAAATTTTCTATTTCTTTAAAAAAAAAAATGTTTCACTGCGCAAATATTGCACCCGAAAAGCGCGGGAATGTGTAACGTAGTTTTTGACACCAAGTTGTAATGACATCATGCTTGACAACAATACAGAGCGCCGTTTTGAATGGGTTTTCATTGCAATTTGCTAGTATTATCTGATAAGATTTCCAGACAAAAATGATATTACCGGTAATTGTGTAGTTTTGTAAAAACAATAATGTATGCAGCAAAGGTAGACAACACACCACTTAGTCTGCCGTCACTAAACATATATTATATCAGCAGAACTAGAGTCTTCAGTGTTCAATCGCTCAAAAATTTCCCAACTGAGCGTCGCCATTTTTTAAATATAATGCAAATGGAACAGTAGTGACTAATCAACAAAAAGATGTGGTAGGGAATTCTTCTAAATGTTTTCTTTTCCTTTATTTTCAGGGTAATCGAGTAGATCAGGAAAGACTGCTAATCCAGAGCTCTACTCTGTATGTGGGAAATCTTTCTTTTTACACGACAGAGGAACAGATACATGAACTTTTTTCCAAATGTGGAGATGTCAAGAGGATAATTATGGGACTTGATAAAGTACAAAAAACTCCATGTGGATTCTGTTTTTTAGAGTATCCTTTAACACTTGCTAAATCCTAGAACATTGTTGGCATATTTTTGTAGCTCAATGGACTGATCAACAGGACTGAACTTTAATTTCCAACATGACATAAAAACCAAATCATCTAAAAAGAGAAAATGAATAAATCTTGTCTAAATAATTATCTATACACTTAGGCAGCACGATGGAGATCTCTTGAATTAAGTGCAATATTAGAACTTAAAAAGTACTTTTGCCTGTGCTAAATATGACAAAGCAAGGGTAATGATATTGTTACTTAATGCCCAGCAAGTGTGTTTGCACTTGATGGGCATTAAGTAACAAACATAAAGAGATGAATGCATTCATGCTACATTTACCAAGTTTTGTTCCAGAGTCTGGCCCTCACCCCTTGGGGCTTAATCCAAGGTTTATAATCTAGGGTACAATATTTATCAATGGTTCTCGTATCCATTTATACACATACATGTATACCAAATTGAACCAAAGGATTTGCTCTGGAGCAACTTTGGCAGCCAAAAAGGAAGTGTAAAATAAGAAGTCCAGTCATGCTATATAATTCAGCTAGACTATTTCTTGCACCTAAACCCATGGGGAAAGGAGATATAAAAGAAGTAAGCTCCTTTTCAACATATAAATTATGTGAATAATAGCCATTCATAAAAAAAATTATCACTACTATTTCCGTTACATAATATTATTTTATGTAATTGGTATGCAATGTGTTTATATAAATAATCCATTGTTTTAAAGAATATATTCCTTAACTCAGTACAAGATATTACTTACGTGAGGATGCTGCTAACGCCCTAAGGTATGTCAATGGCACACGACTGGATGACCGCATTGTGAGGACAGATTGGGATGCAGGGTTCAAAGAGGGTCGACAGTATGGGAGGGGAAAAAGTGGAGGACAGGTAAGCCGAATATACACAAAACACTTGTGTTACATATACAATAACGGTGATGTAGGGGAACAGGTGGACAAGCCACATGCAGATCCAGAATTTTCAAAAGGTTGTTTAGTGCTGCTGAAAGGTCAAGGGAAGGAATTAAGAGAGGATCTGCAGTGAGCCTATAATATACCTATGAAGCTATAGTAATAATAGCATGTTTTATTTTCTTGCCTTGGAATTGAAATTGTCGTTTATAACCTTGTACCCATGGTGGCATCCCTTTCCAAATTATGATCTTGTTTATGACTTCATTCATCTATTTCTCTAAGAGATTGTTCCAGCTTGAAATTTGTCCATTAAATGATAAATCGAAAATATCAGACAATGGTTTCTGACCAGAAATGCCTGAAATATTCGACAAAGGGAGTCAGTAAAATTTCCCTATTGCTTCCACCATCACAGCATGACTTACAATGAGAAAGTGTTCCAATATTAATTACTGTTACTTAAAATCATGATGATAAATTGGGGTTAAATCCATTCTGGCCACATGGAAAGTTTTTCAGTAACTGTAATTGTTATTTTATAAACATCAAACTTAACTGACACATAGGTCTACTGACTACCGACTCCCTTACACCATTATTAGGCCAAAAAGGAAAATGCATGTTTCAGATACCCTGACCGTCCCTAGTTTTTATCTCCAACCCAAACAATTTAACTTGAATGCACTCGGTGCCCTGGGGCTGTCTTATATACTAGTCTGGTGCTGTGGGGCTGTCTTATATACTAGTCTGGTGCTGTGGGGCTGTCTTATATAATAGTCTGGTGCTGTGGGGCTGTCTTATATATAGTCTGGTGCTGTGGGGCTGCTGCTTAATTCACACATTGATGGATTGCAATTGATTTCCTTATCTTTCAGGTGCGAGACGAATACAGAACCGACTTTGACGAAGGACGAGGTGGCTACGGAAAGATTGTAGCTGGACGCATACGCCTAAAACCAGACCACTCGTGAGTATGATTGTACTAGAATCCATAGGTGTATTAAAACAATTCATTAATTCTAAAAAATACAGGGTTTTCGGCTCACCTGGTCTAAGAGCAGGTTAGGTTATCTCATGTCAATTTGTGGAAACCTTGGATGACAGGGGTCAAATATAACCCATAACCACATGCATACAGATCTTTACTAGATTTGCTATGAAGCATTTTTGGAATCAGATAGAGCCCAAATTGGGAAATATGTACAATACTTCTTTTAATAAGAACATTACCGGTAGATCACTTTTTTATACTAGTGAGCAATACAGGCCCTCCTGGCCTTGTTTCTGCATTCATGCTATCGATACAATATCTTGATATCAACCACATAAATATCTGTATCTGTGTAGGAACAACAACAACAAAAGTTTATGATTCAGAAACAATAAAATCAACGTTTTTATATGCCTATAAACATATGGGATGTATGTTCATCATATGGGGATTAAGGCCAAGTTCAAGTTGACCATAATTTATTAGCATACTGATTGGTCAATTCCAAAGTTTAGTTTGGTTAGCATACACTTTTTATATAAAGACTGAGGCTAAGATTGAAGCCAAGAAAAATCTGTGAATAATTAATAAGCGTACTGTATTGGTCAAGTTCCAAACTTTAGTTACCGCAAGAAGATAACTTGCTTAAATAAATTTTATATTTTTATGAAACATTGTATGCATGTACATTATACAAAGATGAGACTTAGTTCAAAGTTGAGTAAAATCTGCACATTATTGATTAGCGTACTTTAATGGTCTGATTGGTTGACAGTTTCTGGACTTTGTCGAATATGACCAGATTCTGATGAAGCTTGGTCAATATTTATATAATACAATGACAAAAGGCTAAGCTTAAAGCTGAGCAAAACCTGCACATGATTTATTAGCATACTTCTATCTGATTGAATTAAGGTTTCTGCACAATAACTTAGTTAAATATGGCAGTATTCTGTTGAGACATGGTCAATAATTACACTTCGTCTAATAGCAAAATCTACCTATGTTAATATAAAAAACAATAGAAATATCTTTGGTTTTAATTATGTAAGATTATTGGCAAAAAGGGGCAAATTTAATTTTCTATTTTCATGGTTTGAAATTTCTACAAAGGGAGACAATTCATGTTTTTGTTTTCTTTTAATTTTGAAAATATAAATATTTCCTCAGCTTAAGCTGGTCAAGTACAGCATGTTGTTTTCTTTCACCTCATTTCAGAAACAGTTCTCAACTTCAATGAGTACAATGTACAAACGTTTTTTCTTCTCACATTTCCATATTTACAATTGTACACATTTAAATACAATAATGCATCAGAAGGATTTTATGTATGTCAGATTGGCATGGGACTGGCATATATTGTTCCATCTTGCGGTACTCTTGTTATTAGAAAGTATTTAATAAACAGAATAATACCTTATAATATGAATCCTTGACACTGACTGATAATTATGGCTACGTATTTTTATTTTCCCCCAGAACTACAAAGTTTATCATAACATGTTGCTTCATGAAGTAATATTCATTGTCTTCTATGCTTTTTTGTCATGTAAGCTTTTCTCTTATTATACCTTAGTGTTTTTTTAATGTTATTGTGCTTTATTTCCATAGAAAATTGGAATACATGAGCTAACCGGATTTAACTTGCACACATCATCAGACTGACTGACTGTGAAGGACTTCCAACAATTCTGCGGTATTAAGAAGAAACATGTGCATATACATATATGCATACTGAACTGGACATATTAAGCTTGAGATGTTAAGTCTCCTCACTAAACTTAAATTTCAACTCATTTACATACTGTCAACAGATGTTGCTAGAATTTTAACTCTTTAATTTGTATCAAAATATCTCGCACATACTCATTGTACATTTTCAGATCATTTTACACAGTAGTTGCCATTTATTGATGATGTTGCTTTATTTTATGATAGTGTCCTGTGAATGTGAAAGTTTGTGCAAATGTTTTTACATGGTTGAGTGATTTAGAATGGAAATGGAATAAAAGTTGAATTTTGTGCTGTTAATTTCTTTATTATTCATCAGACATTCAGATAAGAAATAAAATATTGTTACATAACATGCATTTCATCCTCTGTGAAAAGGGTTACTGGAACAGAGTTAAGAGACCTTTTACAAAGTTTCTACTAGACAAAGTTTTCTGTAGCAGATTGTAACATCAGCAGTTAAATGCTCCGAATTTGTTCATAAAAAAGAACGTCTGTTTTAGAAATAATTTGAGGATGTGACTTATTTTTAATTCATGGGTTTTAAAAGGCACACTATTCAGCTTTTCACAAAGAAAAAAATTGAGTTTTCTGATAACTGTGTTAGAAAGGGAAGGAAATCATTAGGAAAGATTTTACACTGTTAAACCCCTTCCCAAAAAAAGCAGCAGATTTCTTTACAAAATATCTTTCCATAGCCATCATTACACCAAATAAATAAAATATAAAGGTACGATGGCTGATTGGTGTCAATTCATTATTTAGTCTTTTCATCATGCGAAAAAGAAATTTAGCAACCTAATTCTCAGTGTTTTGTCATTTTGCAGTGAAAAGATGAAGAGAGAATTAAGGTTTAAGCTACTATTCTATTATTAAGGTTTGTTAATTCTCATCTTTTCGCCCGTGGTTCTTGTATCTGGTTATAAGTCTAGAAAAGCTGTGTACATTGTATGATATTGATGAAAGCATACAAAAAGGTTTGTTTTATGAATTTAATAATTGCAATACAAAGATCAATACATGTTTGTAGGAAAACCATGTTTTGATTCTTCAATGGGATGCATTAGTCTGGCAGTAAATATCNAGTCAGTATCATGCTGGGATCAAGGACTACTATGTTTGTTAAAGTGAATGACTTTCACTTATATTCAAGGTCACAGGGGTCAGAAGTAAATTAAGGAGCTGCCCACAGAGAGTCAAGGCACAGGCTTTTACAACACTTGTCAGGCATCTCCTTGAGTATGCATCCAATGTTCGAGACCTTTATCAGGTTCAACAGATACAACAACTTGAGAGTGTTCACCGCTAGGCTGCCATATTTAATAACATTTGCTACTGGAGATATGTCATAAATATGCTGCAGCAGCTGAAATAGGAATGACTCGAGCATAGGAGAGCGTGGAAGAGAGTAATCGTTTTCCTCAATATCATCAGCAACATTGTAGAAGTCCCTGTCCACACCATCTCCTGATGGTCTACACCAGCCAGTGTTACCATCTAGCTACAGCTTCTGGTACGCCATCCTTTCACAGGACGTATCTGGACTTATCTACCAGTACCAATTCTCAATATTTTAAAACAGTTTTTACTTTATATAATTGAAAACAATTTTTTGCTGTTCGCCCATCCGGCGCTAGAGTATCAACACTCTGCTAATTAAGAGTACATCCCATTAATGAAGAAGAAACGGTACAACCATAGTTCATTCGTACATCAGGATACATCACTCTGTCACACTTGACAACTAATGTGACGATGCACGTGTAGGATATTGCATGAAAAAGAGAGAGAAAAAGGGTAAAGGTACAGCAATATCAATGTTATTGAAAGTACAGAAACCGAGATTACACAGACGTAAGTCATTCTGTCTAGCACAAATTGGGCTACCATTGGCAGCTGAGAGACTTGCAGAGAGTTCTTGAGCGGCATAGCTTCTGGACTCGAGGTAAAGCCCCATACCGACAAGTTAAACTATAACATTATCATAGTCACTAGGCCTATTGTGAAAAATTTGTTAAAAAATTCAAATCATGCCAGAAAGTAAACAATACTTAGTTACAGCACAAATTTAGATTAGATCTAATACTATAGGTCTGTGGTTACAGCATTTGACAGTGGTATAGGGATCCATAACCCGAATATTTGAAAATGGAACACAAGAAAAATGCACGAGTTTCTACACTGCAAATCATACACTTAACCATTGCAAAACCTGACAGGGGAAGTTACTCTAAGCTAAAAACAAAAGACCCAGAGGGCCTGTATCACTCCCCTGGATAATAAAGCAACCATGGACAATTATTTTTATTACATATAACAACTATTTCCAATATTTAATCTGCCTCTCGGCACCCATCTCTAATAATCTCAATTTCCCCTATTGGGCCTGCCCCCTGATTGATTGATAGGTTTTACATCTGCTTCACTACCGCATTGTTTGCACTGTTCTTCCAGTGAGACTGTCCTATATCTTGTTGTCATCGATACTTTATGGTATGCGCATATTTGTTGGTGACAAGTTTTTAAGTTAAAAGTTTGTTCACACTAACGATTTTAGTGTGTTTATTAAAAAAAAATCAATGAACAATTAAAATTCCTGATATATATGCAGACGTGTTGAGATAGCGAAACAATTTCACTAACCCGCTGCCAGCAACATTAACTGTGGATTAGCATGTGACCTTAAAGTTCATTTTTCCAAGGTTAATACTGTTGAGAATTGCAAATAATGTTACTACCCTTCCATTGTCCGTTTAGTTCGGTTATGCAGCAAACGTGATGACTGCCCTCTAAAGCAACAGGCCCTCTATTTATACATAATTAAGTCCCCTTAAGACACACTCTGCTTAAACAAATTCAGACTCCCCCTTGCCAAATGATGCTGTGGCCAAACATAACTCTGAAGGTGAAGAATTTTAAGATTGTCCGGAATTTCCCCTAAAATGGAGTGGTGTCGGACAGCTGCGCTGTCTTTCACTGGGACTGGGCCAAGTGAGCTTATGCCGTGGTGCAGCGTCCGGCGTCAATATTTTACTTTAAACGACTTCTTAATAACCAAAAAGCCTAGGGTGATGATATTTGGCCAGAAGCAAACTGGGATGAAGGGCTACCAAGTTTGTTAAAATAAATAACCTTCACCTATTTTCAAGGTCACAGAGGTCAAATATTTTTAAAACTTTAAACAACTTCTGAATAACCAAAATGTCCAGGGTGATGTATTTGGCCAATAACATGCTGGGATGAAGGGCTACCAAGTTTGTAAAATGAATGACCTTCATCCATTTTCAAGGTCACAGGGGTCAATTGTCTTAAAAAATCTTAAACATCTTCTTCTGAATAACTAAGAGGTCTAGGATAATGATATTTGGCCAGTAACATGCTAGGATAAAGGGCTACTAAGTTTTGTTAAAATGAATGACCTTGACTTATAATCAAGGTCACGGGGGTCAAATATGTTAAAAACCTTTTAACAACTTCTGAATAACCAAGAGGCATAGGTTAATAATATTTGGTCAGAAATTTGGTGGGATGAAGGACTACCAAATTTGTTAAAATGAATGAACTTGACCCACTTTCAAGGTCACAGGGGTCAAATGTGTTAAAATCTTCAAACGACTTCTTCTCAATAACCAAAAGGCATAGGGTACTGATATTGGGCCTGTAGCATGCTGGGATGAAGGGCTACCAAGTTTTTTCAAATGAATGTCCTTGACCAACTTTCAAGGTCACAGGGGTCAAATGTCTTAAAATCTTCGAACAACTTCTTCTTAATTACCAAAAGTCCCAGGGTACTGATGTTGGGCCTGAAGCATGCTGGGATAAAGGGCTACAAAGTTTGTTCAAATGAATGACATTGACCCACTTTCAAGGTCACGTGTGTCAAACGTCGTAAAATTTTCAAACGACTTCTTCTCAATAACCAAAAGGCACAGGATACTAAAATTGGGCCTGTATTATGCTGGGATGAAGGGCTACCAAGTTTGTTCAAATGAATAACCTTGACTCACTTTCAAGGTCACCGGGGTCAAATGTCGTAAAATTTTCAATCACTTCTTCTCAATAACCAAAAGGCCCAGGGTACTGAAATTGGGCCTGTAGCATGCTGTGATGAAGGACTACCAAGTTTGTTCAAATTAATTACCTTGACCAACTTTCAAGGTCACAGGGGTCAAATATGTTAAAATCTTCAAACAACTTCTTCTCAATAACCAAAAGGCCCAGGGTACTGATATTGGGTCTGTAGCATGCTGGGATGAAGGAATACCAAGTTTGTTCAAATGAATGACATTGACTCACTTTCAACTTAATGTTCTTGTTTGACATTCAAGGTCACAGGCATCATAGGTTTAAATTTTTTAATAGGTTCTTATGAATCAAACACTGATATTCTGCCTGTAGTGTATTTTAGTCCACTTTTAAGATTACAATTGTGAAATTAATACCAGGTGACCGATGCAGGCCTATTTGGCCTCTTGTTTATAAAATGTATAAAGGCAGCAGAGTTTGCAGTCAAGAGAATTGATTTTGAAATAGATAAAAAAAAAAATCAAATCAATCCTCAATCTCTTTAATATATGTTGATATTGGAACGTATCCGGTATTGAACAGGGACATCCATATCAAGATATCATGTACGCATTATATCCGTTATTAGAGTCAAGAGATGAGTAATTATGATTGAGAAATAGAAATAAAACCATGTCTATAGTATTTTATCTTCGAGTTGCATACTAGTATAAGATTCTAAGCAGAGACATCCTGATCAGGTAATCAAACGGTTAATATAACCGTAGTTATTTATGCAATAAATCAAGTTTGCAAAGTTTGTGGTCAAAAGAGATGTCCTAATGATTTTGAAATTGAAAATACATTACATCAACAATGTAATAGATCAATATACAAAAACTTAAAACATACTTCTTATAACGTACACGGTCCTCCTGGGCAGGGGCATCCTGATCAGGAACTTAAATGGAAATTATTTACGTATGTATTGATCAAGTACAAAAAGCTAGCAATGCGAACGGTCAAGAGAAGCATCATAATGATTTTTAAATGGAAAATACATTACATCATTGATGGAATACTCTATGTCTACATCTCAAAACGTACACAGTCCTGGGCGGGGGCCATCATGATCAGGAAATAAAATCATCTTTGTTTTGCATACATAAATACATTTATAAACAAGATGTAGATCGCAGTGAATATTGTCTTTAGAGGAGTCGTTTCAATTTAGAAATAGTGCCCCGACTTACAATAGTATAGTCTATAACTGTATAGCTAGTAGC